ACTAGCCTTATGTTTCACAAGGGTGATTTTATCTATGGGAGCAACAAAGAAAGATAAGAATCTTTATGACCATCAGCTATGTGACTCCTCAGTAGTAAGCAGTTGTAGGAAAGCTAGGGAATAATGGATGGTGAAGTAACAGAGTAGTCATCCCTCCCATAGATATGGAAGGGAAATACTGGGAGTGGAAAATATGTAACAGAAGGAAACAGTGAAAATGTTTTCTGTCTTTAAAACAAACATCCTCCACTCCTTTTTGAGAACTAGGGTTTGCATCCCTGCCTCAGGCCAGTGGTTGGGAGGGGCAGGGTAAGTCTTTTGTTTATTTGTGCAATAGGAGATGGCCCAGCTGGGACCTGGTAAAAGGAGGTCCTGGGCAGAGGTCACCAGATTGTCTTCAGTGGAGATGGGATGATCAGAATCATCAACTGTAGTTAACAGTAATTGCCTGAAGCTGAAAACCCATTCTTTAAAAGCTCTGTATTTCTGTTAATGTTGAGGAAATTTGGATTTTGAGATGAGAAGGTCTACCATTTTTCCTCCTTTGCTGGCAAAGTAATAAAACTTCTCTTTCCTCCTCCCCAAACCATTTGTCCTCATTCTTCTGATTCAGCCTCATGGACAAGTGCCAAATTTTCAGTAATAGTTATATGTATAAACTAACTGCCTATCCCTTTGCAGAGTTTAGACCCCAACCACAGTTCTCACCTTGTGGCCTTTTATTAATTTTATAAAGGGTGTTTTTATTACCTGGAATTAATTTACATCATTGACCCATTCAGACTGTACTGGGAAAGTTCTGTTAATTAGATTCAGTTGTTCTGTGAAGGTTCCATTTTACTTGAGTGTCCTTACATTTTCACATAATAGAAAATAACTTCTGATTGTAACTTGGAGAAAGTAGAGCCAACTATCTCTTTAAGGAAAAGCTGAAATTTTTATCTTTCCATGTAGGATCTGGTGAAGGAGAAAGAAAAACTTCCCTTTTGCCTCCTGAAGGTTTACTCACAATATGGCAGAAAAAGATTGCAAATTTATTTACCACGTGCAGCAGGAGAATCGCAGAGTGGTTACCCAGTATTCCAGTGGGGTCCAGAAGTGTACATACCCTCATTTTAAAGGGGAGGGGGAAAATGAGGAATATAAGCAATTCTGTTGAGGGGCAATAAATGGTTACTAGGGAGGATGAATGGATGGGGGAAACAGATTGACTTATAAATGAGTCTCTTTGGAAATTAAATTAACCTGAAAGACAGGTATTATATTTAAAATGGATTGGGCCAGGTCTGATTATAGTCTCCATCCACTTTCCTGCAGTATATTGAGATAACAGGATGGGGGAGGGAAGAAGATTATTCTTTTTGATGAGTCCCTCTGGTTTTATGCAGATAGAGGCAAAGCCTCTTCCAAGGGCCTGTTGATCTCTAAGGGCCTTTAATTCAAAATACTCTTTATACAAAGGAGTCATCGTTTGGGCTGAAATTCTCTGAGCTCCTTCAATCTTAATCATGAAAACTAACAGCCGGTATTAAAAGGAATGTTTTTCTTTCTCTCAGGAGGGTTTCTATTTTAATGCAAAGATATATTAGAAATGAAAGAGGGTTCTTAACATTATGATAGGCAGAGAGTTTAAATGATAAAACTGAAGTGATCTAGGCTTCTAAGAAATGCCACATATTTTTCATTTTCTACCCCTCTAAAGATTGAAAAAAGGAAGAATACTTTTGGTCTGTAGCTGTGGTTGGCATTAACAGCATTGAGCCATATTGATTTGTTACAGGTTCTTGGATAACAACAAATAATTATTTCATTTTACTTTAGTAAATATAAGGGAGTCTCCAACTGCTAGGTTGGAAAAGAAGAGTTCTGTGTGTTGGCTGTGGCAATCTCATTCTGTATTCTCTGTTCTTGGTGTGCTCTTGTCTGAAGAATGACCAGACACACCAAAGTAAGACAAGTATGAGGTGAAATTTATTGAGGGAGAGCAAGGGAGGATTATAGAGCAAGAGCAAGATACAGATTTATAGAGCAAGATACATACGCCACAGATGATGACCAGACCCTTTGTTGTGGTAAAAGAGACCTTGTTTATGATCTAGGTCTTGTTTTATAGTGTCCAGATAGGGACCTCCCCATGGTTCAGTTGTCATCATGGAACCACTTTGATGGACAGTTAGGAGTAATATGACCTGAATCTTACTGTGTATGTGCATCTCCCATGAGCCTCTCTCAAAGCCCATTTGGAGGATGAACCGCAATGTAGATTTAAGATGATGACATGATAGCTAGTCTTAGGTTATCCTAAGTCACCTTCCAGTACTTATGCCAATTGGCCTGTGGGCTACAAAGTCCTCTGCATTCTTTTGCAATTGGCATGCTAAGTTCTGATTGGTAGATTGGTAGGGCATTTCCTCCTCCCCCAGGTATGGCAGTGAGGGTGAGACAGCACCAAAGGATGGAGGCTGGGGCCTGCCCTTGTCCTTCTTCCCAGGTGGGACAGTTGCTCAAGGCAGCACTAAGACAAGGCACCCACTTTCATCCCTAGGAGACCTGAAACCCCTTACTATCTACCTAACATTTGTACTAGTTATTTTTTTCATCTATTAGTAAATGTTTAATTGCATGAATAAGGCAAGTACTGTAGACATTGTGCAAGTTAATAAGACATGAAAGTACTTTAGAATCATGACCAAGTAGTGATTTTTCATGTGATGCACAGAATGGTGATTTGGGATATGGTGGTATTAGAATGGGGAATTCTTTTGACTGAAATTTTTAAAAAATATTGCCAGCTGCTATTAGCCTCAGCTCCTTAGGAGTCTGAACCTCTTATGCTAGAGTCACAGCATTCCTTATCTCCTTTTCCTGGGCCCAAGCAAAAGACTCCCAAGATCAACTGGACCAGGATGTCAGCCATTTTCAGTCTGGAGCTGATATTTTCCAAATTAAAATTCATCCATTTCTTTGAAAATATAAGTGGAATGCCTTGATCATGCTACCTCCTGTCTGATTCAAATAGAAGTGCTTAAAAGAGATAAAGCCTACTCTTTTTTTCTCCCTCATTTTTTGTTTACTTTTAATTTATGCTATTTGTTATGCGTTTTGTTTATCTTTGTGCAATCTCAGAAGTCATATTAGAATAAGGAGAGGTATAAATGAATGAATTTTAATTTAATTTCTTTTAAAGCAGTATTTCCCACCTGGGAGGCATATCAGAATCACCGATGTAATAGTTAATTAAAAAAAAAAAAAACCAGGCGGTAGGCCCCACATTGGACCTGCTGAATCAGAGTCTTCATGATGATGGGGCCTTAAGCTTATGGATGGTCCAAGAATTCCGCAGCAGTTTCTGATATGTATCTTTGGTTTTGAACCACTGTGCTAAAGCATGTTTTCTGTTTAATTTTCTAGTATAATATGTGATATAACTCTATGGCAAATATTTTTCTAGAGTAGTCTGTACCAAGAGTTTTCTATAAATGGAACTATTTTTATGTTAACTTTAAAAAGATTTTATGAGTATATGTGTATAGATGTGCATGTATATGTGTATATTTCATGTACACATGAATATGTGTGCATAATATTTGATGTTTCTTTATCATTTGACTATGAAAATGCCCCACAGACACTTATTTTGGTTTTGTCCTATTTTTCTTTTTTATGCATTGATCATTTACTGTTCTGTTATACAACCCTGAGTGGGAATGAGCTCATTTCCACCATGAACTGTATCAGTAAACAATGATGATGTTGATGAATTTAATCTTGATTGCTGTAACTGTCATTGGCATCAGAGAGTGACACTGCTCATTCAGTTTGCATAGCATTTAAAATTCATTGTTGAAGGATTAAATAAAATTATTAAAAGAGTTAGGCCAAATTTTGATAATGTCTCAAAGCCAGCCCCTTATAAGGTTATGGGAACTTGCTGAGTTTGAATGCTATTGTTTCTCCAGGGTCTTTGTGATTCAGTATAAGCCGATTCATACTTCTGAAATCAGTACTTTTTTGATATTAAGAGTTGTAATAATTAAGACTTACATTTTAATCTTGGTTCCAATACAGATTTGTTGCCATTATGAATATAAGCAAGCTCATTAGTTTTTCTATTGCTCAAATTTGGAGTGAATAGCAAAGAATTTACCAAAGACTTTAAATTTTATTGTAAAAGTTTAACTTCTGTTTGCTGTAAATGGCACAAAATATATCTGCAGTTGATAACAGAAAAGAAACTATTGTCTTCCACATTAACACATATAAGAAAAATTTGTTCATATTACATAGCTCCAAATTTTTTTTCACAGGAGATAAACTTTTATATGTCACAACTTATAATAGTTTGCTTAAGTCTGTTACAGTATTTTAGTGTTAGCACATTGTGCGTGTGCTTTAAAAAAATTGCATGTTAAGCTCCATGCTATTGTTTCTCAATTCCTGTACCTTCTCTGATGACTGTTCTCAGTTTCCTCCATTACCAAGCCTCTGTAAATATAAAAAGTCACTGTGATGGTTCTTAGCATGGCTTTTCAGGAAAACTCATCAACTGCAAGAAAATGCACTTTATTGATAAGCGTCTCTTCATAGCATCTCTCTGCATAGTGAGTTTGAATGGCTTCTCATTTTAAAACAGAATCAACACATTTTGGTCCCTGCAAGAATAAATGGATTGAGTTGAATTCTGTTAAAGTTCGGTGGAAATTATTGCCATTATATAAATGAACATTTTAAAACAGGAGGAAAATGCTAAATAAAAAGAAGGGGGGAAAAAAACCCTCACACTTACTATGTTAGGTAAATGAGTAATAGGAAAAAATCTTCAAATGACCAAAAAAAGGTTTTTGGAGATCTTTCATTTTTAGGATTAGAGATGACTTCCCAGTTATTGTATGAAATGTATGTTTAGAGAGAGGTGATTCTATAAAGCCAAATAAGCTACTATCCATGTCTTAAAAATTAATTCCGCATATTCTTTGGTGGGTGGTGGGGATCGGTTTTAGGATATGACAGCTCGTGACCTGCTACAGCAGAGGTACACTCTTCCAAATGGAGATACTGCCTGGCGCTCCTCTCCCCTTGTGAATGCTGCTCTGGACGGCAAGCTGGTCCTGCTGGACGGCATCCATAGGGTCAATGCAGGCACACTTGCTGTGTTGCAGAGGTTTGTATGAGACACCGAAAAGTGCAAAACACACGCATTCATACACACACACATAACACGCCAGCCCAGTCAGTAGACATGGTACTCTCTCACCCCTTTCCCCTGCCCCCCTCCCCGAATATTACAAGGCTACAAATGTTTTGGTTACATGGATTGCTTTTGTACTGCTTGAGGCAAAGCTATAAGCATCCCATTACCCAGATAGTGTACATTGTACCCATCCCCTCCTCTCCCCTCAAACTTTTTTTTAAAAACTTAATTATGTAGATCCTGAGAAACTTGGGATTCTATATCCAAGTAGAATGGTAGATTTTTTTATTGCTATAAACACAATGCAGTAAAACTCTAAATAATGAACATTTTGGGAAAAGCCATTGCCATAGCAAAATTCTGTATGGGAGAACTGCAAAAAGAAAAACTTTAGTAATTTTGAAAGACTTTAGATGTATATATGCAAAAAGTTCACACACAGCTGAAATTTCTATAATTTTTTAGCGTCACAGCTTTACTATTTAAAAACTCCTTATGAATCATAGATATTAATTATTGGCTGATCTCATTGGAATCATTTTTCTGAGAGAGAAAAAGATGTTTTTAATATAAAATGTGTAATAGCTTTTTGATTATATTTTATGTAGACTAAAAAAGCTCACTTTGTTGTTATAAACTCGAGCATTTCTCTGTAGCTATGTTTTCTGATTTCAGTTTAGGTGGGAAAAATTTCCACACATTCCTAAAACTTTTCCAGAATTTAATGTTCAGAGAAGACTCTTCATGTGTAATTTTTGTAGAAAATTTTTCCCATCCTGTGTCCTTTTAGGAGATTACTGATACTGATATTTTTTGTTTCATCGTGGTTCTATAACTTGCAGACATTTCATTTTTAACTTTGAGTTATTGGGAAAGGTCAAATAAGTGGAATAAGTCATTTCCCCAACTGACTACTCAAAGTTTTTTGTTTCTGACAAGATGCAAATACCAAGTGTAATTAAAGATTCCAAATATGTTGTGTTAATCCTCATTAGATTTTAGATTATTTAAAAATAATAATCACAAACTTTCAGTGATTTACCATAAACATTCCATAGATTTACAGTATTTTTTCTCTGAAACAGACAAAAGCAGACACAATAATAGTTGGACCCCTTTTATTGGCTGTCTCTTGCCTGTTTGGCTGAGTGTCATTGTAGTCAATGGCAGTCATAGCTGCCATTGAGTACTTATTCTGTGATGAGCACTGTGCTAAGCCAGTGCTTCTCAGGTTCTCAACCTTGGAATCACTTTACAGGACAGGAATTTAAAAATCCTCATACCTGGGTCCCACCTCCACAAATTCTGGTGTAAACACTTCTCAGAAGGTTTTAATGTGCAGCCAAGATTGAGAACAGCTGTATATTAAGCATCGGTTTTTACATTCGCTGTTTAATTTTCACAGCAACTGTATGAAGTTGGCATTACTACCTCAGTGTTACAAAAGATAAAAGTTTCGAGAGATGGCCTGGTTCTCCCCCTCTTTAGTCATGGAGCTGGTGAGTTGTAGAGCTGGAGTTGAACCCAGGCCTGACTGGCTTCCCTGCCCAGGCTCCTGTCCTCTGAAGTATATAGTTTCTCCTTCCCTCAGAATGGAGGCTGTGTTGGGCAACTCTAACATGGGCAGCGGGAGACTGAGGGGTTGGTGCAAGATCTAGAACAGTGCTTTTTGACCTTTGCAACATCTGGAAGACAGTGTTGTTTGTGGTGTGGATAGTTAGGCCACCATCAGAGTTGACAAGAGAAGCAATGTAGTTATTTCATTATGAAGATTTTTGGTATTTAAAATCCATAATTCCCAAGATAGAAAAAAATTTTTTTAGAAATATTTTGATACTATCCTTTAAAGAGTTACATTAGACTCAAGGAGTTTGTGCCAGCTGCCTTGTCCATTAATATGTACCCATGCTTATTCTGAGTCACTCCTTCAGTTATTTGTTTTCCTCTCCCTCCTCCTCCATTTCTTTTTTTTTTCCTCCTGTTGCATTTTCACCTCTCCTCTTTTTCCCTGTCCACATCTAATGTTCATGACTACTGCCCCCAGCACAGAAACCAACAGTTTTGTCAAGTATAGCAGCACTAGCTAGCTTGAAATTTTGCAAAGTCTATCTTACAAAATGGTTAGACTCAATTGCCAGCTATGATAGATATAATTAAAATGTTGGCTGACGGACTGTATCTTTAATAACTTCAGTGTTCAAAACTGATTCATTTGTTTTCTGACTTTGCTCTTATCCCATTAGGTTAATCCACGATCGAGAGTTGAGCCTCTATGATGGCTCTAGGCTGCTGAGAGAAGACAGGTATATGCGCTTAAAAGAAGAGCTGCAAATGTCTGATGAGCAGCTACAGAAGAGGTAATTCTGGGTACATTGCTCTTATTGTTTTTATTTTTAAGTTAAAAATAACATTGTTTATTATTTTTATAAACCTGGAGTCAAGCCAAGATACCTTTGAACAGTGTAATAATTTGGTGTCCTGGACATGCTAGTAGTTTGGCACTTTTTAAAATGTGAGGTTGCTGTCCAAGATGTACTCTGTACTCTCAGCCTTACTTTCAAATAAATGTTTAAACATTTTATAAGAACTTTGATTTGAAGAAGGTACTCCCTCCTCAGTTGCCCTCCTAGTTCAGTTTTGGCCTTGTACTTTTGTATCCCCTTAGCAGAACAAAAGCTGGGCCCACCATTAACTGGGTCACCCTCCTTGGGTGTCATCAGTATTTCTAGGGTACGCCACTTGATGGGGTACACCACTTTATGTGGGATTACCCATTATGGCTTATTTAAACATTCCTTCCAGAGCTGTAACAACCAAATGTAATGTTTGAGATTTGACTGGATCCTGGAGTAGGAAACAAAATGAAAATAGCTATAAAAGATAAATTAGAAAGGCTTAAATATGGACTCTTTCTCTCTCTCTCTCTTTCTCTCTCTATGATATTGAATTAATACTAATTTTCTTAAGTATCACAATGGTATTGTGGTTATGAAGGAGAATATTCCTTTCACAGGAGATGTTTGCTGAAATACTTATGGGATAAAGTAAAAAAAAAAAAAATGCCTGCAATTGACTTATAAATGTTTCAGAAAAAAAAAAAAAGATGTGTATATGTACATGCAAACACACCACAGAGAAAGAGAAAGATCAAGTGAGATTGAGAACACAAATGTGGTAAAATCTTAACAATTGGCAAAATGTAGATCAAGAATATATGGGTGTTTGTATTCTGTAAGGTTTTTCAGCGGTGGTGAAAAGACAGACAGAGAGAAACAGTGGGGGCCAAACCACGTGGTTTTATTATACACTCATGGATGAGGTTCTGGGGCCCCAAGAGAGGGGGGCCCCAGAATTCGCCGCTGTTTGAAGGGGTTGAGGCCTTTTATACCCTTTGGGCCTGGCTAGGGACTTTTGGCGGGAAGAGCTGGGGATTTTGGGGAGGGGCTGGAGGTATTTGTGGAATCCAAGAGCCGAAAAGTTCCTATCCAGGTGGACATCTGGGTGTGGTTCCTCTCGGCAGGGTCTGCCAGTTTTGTCCTTGGCGGGTCTGGTCTCCGGAGCCTTTTCCTTTTGATCTAGGGAAGGGAGGGGGCCGCCACCAGCCTTACGTATTCTATTCTTTAAAATTTTTTATGAGTTTGAAAAATTTCAAAATTAAAAATTTGAAGGAAGATGTTTGTTGCAGCTACATATGATACTTTTCTTTAGAGGAGGTTTGGCAAATATAGATTATTTTTCATCTCATTACATTTCCACAGATATTTTAACATAATTAGTGGTTGATACATTGGGGAAAACTCCTTGTCACTTAATCTGACCCCATTTAAATGAATTTTCCCCTCCCCCTAAAGGACTTAATGCCATATTTAAAACATTAAAATTCTACAAAAGACAATTAAGGGAATTTATTATTGTGTTTATGTTTTAAGCAAAATTTTGTTTAAAAATTTTCTTGGAGTTTTTTCTTAGAGGAATGTTAAATTCCTACTATCTCTGTATAAATTATTATAAATTTTACTTGATTACACAGCTACTTATAGTTCTGAGATGTACATTATCAAATTACTCTAGACCCGGAAATAGTTTGGTCAAGTGTTTCGGGAGGAAAGTCACATCGTACTTTCAGTTTATAACATTCAGTTTTTGTACATTATTTGCATGTGAATCACTAGTCAGAGAACAGTTCATGTTTTCAGAGGGAAGAATCAAAGCAATTGAGCAATAGCTCGCAGCAAGCCTGCCCAGCAGTTTCCCTTAGGACATCAGGAGCTTGGTACTTGTCACCAAATGTCAGGGAAATGACAACCCTTTTCTACAAAAAGTACCCAAGTTCTCCCTAAGGGTCACAAGCAGTTTTACAAGTGAAACCACTTTCAGGAACAGAGTGGCCCTGGGCATCATGTTGAGTTTAGTGCAGAGTGGTTAATAGTCTTTTCTTCTGAAAGTTTCTCACTTTAATCACTATTGATTTGTGTCTCTCCCACAAACACAAACCAGTCTCAGCTCTAGCTCCAGAGGTCACTCTGAGGGGGTGGAGAGAGATTGTAGCAATGCTTGCTATCCTTCACTTTTTACATTTTTGTTTGGATTTTTGCCAATGTTAAACTTGCATGAAACTTGAGCCAGGTAATTTTTCAAAGCATTTTATGAAAAATACCATCTCCTGTCGTTGGTTTCATGACAGTCTCTATTTCCCACTTCTCATGCTTCAGAGGCTACTGCTTTCAACTCTTAGTTGTTTCTTTTCATATTTACCTCCATGCCACTAAACAATATACTTTCATTGATATGCCCGATTTATTTTTTAGTGTTAGAGATTAAGCTGTTGATTTTCTACATGGAAAATTAAGATTTCCCTCTTTCACTACCTCCCATCTCACTACTCATGCATACTTCCATCCAGTATTCTTCCTAGAGTTATATGATAATCTTGTTTGCGACTTTATTTGATGTTTACATTATTATGACAGCATAAAAACTGTACCCAGCTAAGCCATTTAGTATATCATAGTTATTTCTCTTATTGTGCACATTGTGTTTCTCCTGAAATTAATACTTACCTACATATGAAGAGAGACAGATATGTAAATAAACAATTACAATGCAGTTTTAAATGTTAGACTAGAGGTCTGTGTACAATAATGGTATGGGAACACTGGGAAGGAAGTGACCCTATTTTCTATAATATGTATGTTTCACTTTTTCATCTCAAACACTTCCCTGTTTGTCTGAATCTCCTCTCAGCATACTCACACATCTGGCATTTATCAAATTCCATCTTCTATCAATTTTGTCTTTCTCCCATGGTATATTCTGACAAACCCTGCTTGTACTTGTTGCTTTTTATACCTGTAGCTCCTATGTCATCGTAGATCTCTCTCTACTCCCACTTACCAAGTTTCCTTTGGTCTCTCTCTCTCTGTACTTTTTATTATTTAGATGTATGTTCAACCTCCTGGGCTGAACTTCTTTTTTTCTTCTTCTCTCTCTTATGTTCTGTCAGTTTGTTGGGCATTCATTAACTTTTCAGCAGTGAGATGTTCTACCAATGATTCTCCTGGCTTGTCTAAAATATTTCTAACAGTTGAAAGCCTAATTCCTTTCCTTATCCATACTTCTCATATTGTACTCCTTTTTACCTGAGAAACACACTATTTTCCTATGATTATAAATAGTTTTTTCCTTTATTTTGTTGTTTACACTGTTGTGTTACAGAATCTGCTTCACTCTGGTGGTATGGATTGTTGGTAAATTTCTTTGCCTTTTCTTGGTTAATCTTGATTTAATTTTTTAACCCTTTTTTGTCTTTCTCAGAATAAATATCCTCTTTTAGAGTTACAGTAGATTAGATTTTTCTTTTAAGTATTTCTCTAATATCTAACAGTATTTCTTTCAAGACTGTGTTTATTGGGTAGTGGGGCTGACAGCTTGACTTAAAGTATATAACACAATATAAAAAGCAGGAAATTTGTACTCAGTGAGGAAATTACTTTATTTTGTGGGTTCTTGTAAGTAATATTGCCCATTATCTCTCATGGGTTGATCTTATAGTCTGTTCATATCTAATATGTCACTCTTGGCACTAGCATTTGAACTACAAATTAGAAACTCATGACCCATGTTATCTATTCTTTCATTTTTGTACTTGCTCACCGAAGTTCAACAAAGTGATTATTACTTCTGTAGTCCTCAAACAAACTCAGCTTTTACTTTATTTATTTTTATTAATTCTTTGTTTCCTTGTAGAAGATTTTAAGGTCGAGAAAAAGGTCAAAGGTAGAATGATAGGGAAGGTTTTTGTTTTGTTTTTTAAGGGGAAGGGTTTTGGGGTGGAGTGGGAATGGTGCTTTCGTGTTATAGCAGTTGCAGCTGCCTAACAGAAAAAACAGTTTCCATAGTTTTACACAAATAAATAAATCTCCTACCTCCGAGGGATCAAGATTCCAAGAGCAATTGCTACTAATCTGTAGAGTAATACCTCTTCAGAGTTCATTTTAAAGCTCTTGTTCTGAATACAGCAGTTGTGTGATTTTGTTGAACTTGAGTATCATAAAGGTACAGTAATCCATGGACTCAGTCACTCTCTGGGCGCCCAGAATAGAGTCCAGGTAATTCTTATCTATAGACTGACTGCATATGCAAGTGTTTGTTATTAATCATTAGTATTACTTGTTTCCTTTAGGTTAAGTGTTTGAGTTCCAGCTCTTAGATGATGTTGTTGCTGCCTTCTGTGGTATACCACTCATGAAGGTAGACAGATATGTAAATAAATAATTACAATGCAGTTTCTAAATGTTAGACTAGAGGTCCGTACAAAATGCTGTGGGAACACAGAAAAGGAAGTGATTAGTAACTGTGTCTTGAGAGGTTGGGAAAGGTTTCAGAAAGCTATTAAAATTGGCATCTCCCAGGGTTTTTGCCTTAGCCTTTTCTCTTCTTTAGGCAATCTCAGTCACTCATGTCTTTACCTGTCATTGATACACTGAGCATTCCTTAAAAGCTGTTTCCAATTTAGTTTTCTAAGTGCCATTTGACTACTGGATATCTGCCCTTACATGTCCCAGAGAATCTTTGAGCTCATTTCTGCAAACCCACTGTTCCTCTTGAGTGCCAAAACTTAGTGAATGGAACCACTGTCTCTCCACACACCTAGAACTAGAAGTTTAAGGTATCTAATCCATAAAAGTGATCACTTCATTGTTTAAATCCTTTAGTGGCTTCCATCTGCTACAGGATTCAGGGCTAATATCTTTTACATGTGTGCCTTTTTAGCCTCATTTTTTCACTTCTCAGGACCAGTGTGGCAGACTTCTGCTATCCCTTCAATAGTCACCTCCTCTGTGAAATCTCTGATATTCCTATGGCCCTTCCTAAGGCCAAGTCAGATTTTGGGACTTCTTGGCCTCTAGACGCAGTTTGGTAAATTTAGATACCTGTTCTGCTTTCAGATAGAAAACTACTATAAAGGTCATTGTATTAATACAGTTTAGGTGACCTTCTCAGCTAGCAATGTTTCCTTATATGAATCTACTGATTAGGAATACTTTGATGCCTTTTAATGGCAAAGTCTTTTGGCATAGGGTCTCATAATCAATATCGGCTCATAATCATAATGGGCTAGCAGTGGGCCACCAACCCTTTCAACTTCATGGTATGAAACCCAGTTTCTGAACAATTATATTCCACTCCTTTGCTGACCTTCATTGTATTGTATACTAATTCTTCACCAAATTCATACACCTTGATCATTTCCAGAATGTTCTATAGGCTTTTATATTCTTTGCAGGTAATCACATGCCTAACATGCCTTTAGAAATGTTAGGGGCTTCTCTTGTTGCAAGACACCAGGAATGCTGCGGACATGGTTGTTAGAAATAGCATGATGGCCACACACACCAGATACCATGCCTGCATTTCTCTCAGGAAATAAGGACCAAAATAGAACTGCTTCCTTTGATGAGAAAAACTTCTTTGGGGAAGGGGGAAGTACAAATACTATAGGCTGCTAAATGTGTCCCTTCCTGCTACTAGCCAGAGAATAGATGAGGGGGATGAGCGTCCCCGTGAGTTGTTAACAGTTTATTTCACAAAGAAAGGGCTTCTGGTTATCTCAGGGAAACAATAAAGAGTAGTGGCCTAGTCTTAGTTATATATGTTCTAATGTTTTTGCATTTTTATGGAATATTTTATTTTTATTTGTTGCTGTTGAACATTGAAGACAGTTTATAATTTTTCAGTCTTAGTGGTGAACCATAATTGGATATTTGAGCACAGTCCTTAATCAGATTCTCCAGACCCTTTTGCTTTTACTCTTACCCATGTTTGAAGATAGTATGCAAGCATTCTCTCCTAGCTTTCCAGAAACCTCCGCATCTCTTTGTTAGCAAATGAGGCCATGTAAATTTTTAACAAAACTTAAGATATATCAAGATTTTATGCCTAAGTCTTTGTGTTTGATTGTCAAAACAAAAGGCTTTAGCAAAGTCTGATTTTGAAAATATTTCTGAGCGTTTTCATGGTCAGACAACCATTTAAAACCTCTTTACCTGTGAATGGTATAATTACTTATTGTATGTTTTAGATTTATCCTTTTGGTACAGAGAATGTACCTTCTCTCACAAATTCATTCCAGATGAGATTTATTAATAGACTAGGGTGGGACACTGTGATTTTCAGTTTTTATCACTTACCTTTGTCATTGACACCAAAAATCTTCGAAAAGTTTTTCTCAGTGATAGTTACTAACAAGAGTCGTACACATTTATTTATTTAGCATCTTTCCTCTTCCAAATATTACACTAGACCTTGGCTGGTATAAATATGCATAAGGAATATATCAGTGCAGTTTGCCACACTGCATTGGAAAAAAGGGGAAATATGAGCTGTGTACATATGTGTGTAACTGTGTAACTTTTACTAGGTTATGAATTGGAACAGTAGTATTGATATTATAGTATAGAAGGCCAATTACAAAATGCTGTTCATGATTGATGTCTTTATAGAAATCTTCTATATCATTATTTTGTGTTCCTTAATACACAAATCCCATAAAAATGTACTATTTAATTCCCTTCAAAAGACTGGAGCTTATCAAAGTCTTTTTTTGTTTTATTAAAAGCTTTGTTGGAAAAAAAAAGCTTTGTTGATATATAACATAATAAACTATGCATATTTAAAGTACACAGTTTGATAATTTTTGATAATTGCATATACTTGTGACACCATCAACACAATCAAGATGATAAATACAAATCTGTAATCCTGAAAGTATCCTCACACCTCTGTGTAATCCTCACTCCTGTCCCTTCTCACCCTCCTTTCCCATCCTCAGAGATCTGCTTCTGGACACTATATATAGCTTGTACTTCCTAGAGTTTTATGTATATGGAATCACACACTATGTGCTCTTTTTTGTCTGGCCCTTTCACTTAAGCTTAATTATTTTGAGATCATCCATATTGTTATATGTATCAATAGTTCATTCCTCTTTACTGCTGATAAGCATTGGAAAGTATTTTGCTCTCTGAAAACTTAAACTTATGCCCACAGACACATTGACCTCAATATTTTTATTTTTTAAATCTTTTAAAATCTTTTTAAAAGCACTTTTTGCCCTTTTGATCTTCAATCTTTAGGAAATAATATCTATTTATCTGAAATTAAGGGATATCTTTAGTTTCATTTGTTGTTTTGTTGTTGTTAAAACTGTAGTAAAATTAAACTAACCTTGATTTTAAATTTTAATGGGACTGGTTTTGTAATTTTCGATTACATATCACTTCTTCAGCTTTTGTATACTGACCAGTTTGTCAAATTGCTCTGAAGTACATGGCAGAGCCTTTGCTCTCTAACTTTCAGACTTGAGTAACCTAGCATCATCAGGAAATGACTTTCCATATGACCTATTTGTATGTAAGGAAGCCTTTGGGGAGAACCTAGCAAACAAAAAGGCCCTTCTCATCCTGTTATTCAGTAGTTTGGTGGCTGTTTTTATAATCAGCATGCATGTTTCTGCCTAATACATCAGCCGTCTCAGAGACTGCCTCCTTCAAATTTAGCCTGCTCACTCAGATACCCTGCTAGAGTCAATACTATTGATAAAAAGCAAGTCACAGACAATGTATGTCCCAGGCAATGACCATCACCTTATTGAAATTTTAACTACCTGCCTTGCTCTCCTTTTTGTTGCTCTTCTAGTCCTAACTTTACAGCTCAGATGTGGTCTGATCTATTGGTTTAAGGATGTAAATTGGACTTCCCCTTTTGGTTTGCCTGAGATAAAATTTCATCTTTATTCTCTGGTTTTGTATTTCTTACTCTCTTAAGTAAGAAATTACATCTGCATGTTTAATTTTGTGCAGCCACACCAGGCTCGCTCTCTCTTTCACCTACTATCTTTTGTCCCAGATGTGATTGAAGAGGATCAGGATGAATCCAGCATCTGTTGCTAAGCCTTTGAACAAAAATTTTTAGATGATAGCAAACCACTTAGCAGCAGAAGAAAACAGAATAACTTCTTCCCTTTAGCTTTCCCATCACAGGATTTTCTGTGTCCAGTTTTTGTTTTGTGACTATCTAATTACTAGCAATCCTGAGTGACCATATTATCCTCAGGACTTTCAGGCACTGTCCATGTTGTCATCCTTCTCTATTTTCCCAGAACAACGACTTTGAACAGATCACTTTCCCAGGCCTGGCTGGAACATCTGTAAATATGTCTTTTTGTTTGTTTGTTTGTTTTTCCCTACCTAAAGAAATGAAATAATACTGGGTAGCTTTTATGAATTCATTCAGGCCTTTCATAAGGCCATTTCTAAAAATTGCTTTTCTCTGGTTTACAAATTATGATGTGGCCTCTAAAATTACAGATCATGTAGTCAGGAACGTGGTGAACTTGCCCACCGAATAGATGGGACTTTGTCTTAGCTCTTCAGAGGACTCATCTGATTCTTTTCATACATGTCCTACCTCCTGGTATTCTAGCTGCCTAATCACTTAACTATTTGGGTCTGTTATAATAGTTAATAGCAATATGCCAGTTATGTACCTGTATTTTTGTTTCTCTGAAGATCTTGGCAAGTGATTGAGTTTCATCTCTTCTTCTCTTAGCAAGAAGTGTATCACCCTCTAAAAGCATATTTCTACTCAGTTTTTGAGTAGTGTTGATAAAAGCCAACAGTGTCACCCACATGATTAGATCATGATGAGGGGTTTTGGAGCCCTCCAAAAACAACTCAAGTAATTTCATAAACTGTGGGAAGTCTTATCTTATTCCTCTTTGTATCCTAGAATATTTATGTGCTTCCTCAGATTTCCTAGCATAGATTTCTAAAAGAGATCACTTTAAATATCATAACATTTCTTATAAAAAAGATACAATGACAAAAGAGTGAATTATATAAAGGTTCATTTTTTCCTGCCTTTTTAAGACCTAAGTATTTTTATTGCCAATCTAAATTTTAAATTCAATCTAACCCCTTATGGTGCTTAAATTTTCTGCACTGTAAAAAGTCTTTTCACCCTGAATTATTCTTCTTGGTCTTTCTATGATTGACATAGAGTGGGTTTCTAACAAGATAGGAGATTTTGAAGGGATTTTAAATAAATAAAGAAGGTATATGTAATGAATATGAACTGGATAGGATTTTATTTCAAGAGATTCTGGAGAAAATTTGTTATAGCATAACAACATATCAAAAGCAGTGGTTTGTGCCAGGGCTGGAGTTTCTTGAATGAATATTGTACATTTATTAGCAGTAAGTGATTATTTTGTTTATTCATCTTAGGTTCTTAGAATGTCTTACTAATGTAAATTCTTTTAATTCTTTTCCCTTGTAGATCCATTTTTCCTATCCATCCTTCCTTCAGGATCATTGCCTTGGCAGAGCCCCCTGTTATTGGAAGCACTACACAGCAGTGGCTGGGACCAGAATTCTTAACCATGTTCTTTTTCCATTACATGAAACCGCTTGTCAAAAGTGAAGAAATCCAAGTGATTAAGGAAATGGTAAGAGTGAGGCCAGCCTAGCGTATTTTCTACGCCTGTTCTCTTTTTAAGGTACTCTGATACATGCTGGAGCAGAGTTAGACATTTTTAGCTTTTACTTTCCATTTGCTCCCATATTTTCTCATATAATGGTATAGGTCAATGCTTCTCAAAATTTAACATTTTTCAGAATCTGGAGGGCTTGACAAAAACACAGATTTCTGGGTTCCATCTTTATAGATTTTGAGTCAGTAGATGTAGGATGGTACATGAAATGTATATTTGTTACAAGTTCTCAGGTGATGCTCATGCTGCTGGTCTGGGGAACACACATGGGGAACCACGGATGTGGGCTGTCTCTCCTCTTCCTTGTGTAGACACAGTTTTGGAATTCCTTTTCTTTTTATATTCAGCCAAAGATGACTATTTTAAGTTCCTACTGTAGTGGGAGGCCAGATATATTATGGTTTCTTAAATTTGATAGAAAATACAAAAATTTCTTTTGAAATACCAGAATGAGCTGATTAATTTTAGGCCTTCTTATGAGCATGGTTGTGAATAAGGGCATAGGCTTTAGAGTTCAACAACTTAGCTGTAAATGTCAAATTCACTACTTATTAGCTTCCAGATCTTGGGTAAATTAATCATAGTTTCTTCTTCTGAAAATGGGGATAATACTACATCTTACATAATAGCATCAATTTCAAGAATAAACGAGATTAAGTATATATGGAATAGAACTTAGAATTTTAAAAAATTCAAATTACTTAAATGACCAAAGAAACTCTGAGCAATATTTTTTTTGAAATGTTCACATTATCCCAGTCATTATGCTAGTATCTCTTTCTGATCTTTTTAAATTAAAGCCTTAAATTTGTTATTGCTTAAATAAAAATTGCTTATAGTCCAATTAATTTGATTGCTTGATTAAATTAAAGTTTGTTATAGTTGGGAGCAATCAATGTATGTTTTTTGGGTGACTGCTTTTCATAATTCACCAATATGTTGATTATACCCCTCACGTATGTATTTTTGGAAAAATGAACACTGTGGGTGTCCATTCTTTACACAAGCCTTCCTTATGTCACTTAGTAGACATATGTAAGATTGCTACTAAGTAAAGGAATTTGGTTTCAGTAAGAAAATGCCTAAGTTTATGCTTAAAATATCACACTGAAGCTAACAAAAGAGGAAATGGTAATATATGAAAAGTTTTTTTTATGGATACATCATATGCCAATTTTTGATTGAGTTAGAGGGTCCTTTCAGTTTCATCCTGGTGATAGAATTGTATATGAAGAGCGGCTTGTTTTTAGTTACCTGATTCCTAAAGAGAAAGCGGGGATTTCAGTGTTTCCTGAAAATTTGAATAAGCAACTTTATCTTAGTTAAATATGTAACTGATAATTAACTTTCTAAAAATGTACTTCTAATATTATTTGTTAAGTAGTCATAATTTCTGGTCGATTGGTCTGATGTCCCAATTTATTCTTTCTGTTTTTCCTTAATTCTCTCATAAAACAGGTCCCAAATATACCTCAGGAAGCTTTGGATAAATTATTATCGTTTACACACAAACTTAGAGAGACACAGGATCCAACGGTAAGTCCGGGCATTTCCCATGTTGAATTGACATTCTGCTGCTTTATTTTCTTAGACTTCAATGATTTAAAATCTATATTTTAAGCTGACGTTTTATACCTTATGCTATGCTTTGTCCTATACATATGTTTTACTTTGATTTTAGTGATTTTAACATTTCTTCTAGCTCCTACTGGCTCATGTTATAGAAAACAGCTTGTAGCTCTAGAGGAGTGCTTGGTATTATTCATGGGGCTTCTGCTCTGTTCCCTCTGTCTCCTATGCTGAGCAGTGTCATCTATTCTTATAGCTTCAAGTACCACCTCCCAGTTAATGCCTACATCTTTATCTTCAGCTTTAAACTTCACTTTTTTTTAATTGATTTTCATTTTTCCATTCCAGGACGGCATGTTGGGAAGATAAAGGGCTGTCACTCTTTAATTCTGAGTCACAGTGTTCTCATCTGTAAAATGGGAACAGTGCCCTCCTACCTTATAAAAAGGCCTCAGTGATTCAACATAAAAGTGGATGTAAAGAATCTCCTCTTTAATAGCTGCTTAATAAATGTTAGTTTCTTTCTCTTTTCAACAGAATCCTCTGAGATGACTATAAATTCATGTTACACAACTAAACTATCTTTCCTCTTTAAATGTATTCCTGTTCCTGATTCAATTCTGACTTTGTTAATAATCTGTCTCCTAAATTAGAAACTTTGACATCATTGTTGATTCCATGCTCTCCTACTGTCTTCACTTAATCTGAAAGCAAATCTCACCGATTTAACATCTTGATGTGTCATCTATTCTTTTACCTATTGTCAGTAATTGTCCTAGTATTGGATTTCACCATCTTCCTCCTGGAATATTGTTAGGTCCTTTTCATAGCTGTCTTCACCAATAATTCATTCATCTATTAGTTTCCAATTGTGGTTGTAACAAATTACCATAAGCTGGTAGACTTAAAGCAATAGAAATTTCTTTTTGTCTGGACAATAAAAGGCTAAAATTAGTATCAGTGAGCTAAAATGGAAGAGTCAGCAGGGATACACTCCCTTGAAGATTCCAGGTGATTATCTGTTCCTTGCCTCTTCTGGTTTTTGGTGGCCGCCAGCATTCCTTGACTTGTGGCCTCACTATGGCAATTCTTCCTCCATCTTCACATCCCCTTCTCCTCTGTGTGTCTGTGTCATATCTCCTCCCTACTCCCTCTTATAAGGGTATATAGGACCGCATTTAGGGCCCATCCAAATAATCCAGCATAATCTCCTCATCTCAAAATCTTTCATCTAATTTGATCTGCAAAGTCGGTTTTACCATAGAAGGTAACATTGACAGATTCCAGAGATTAAGATGTGGATATCTTTGTGGAGGACCATTTTCTAGATGTCACAGGTTCCCTATTAATTTCCTCTGAGACCTCATCTCCAACTGCTTTCCCCCTTAGTCTTTCTTTTCAGCTATACAGTAAGCTTTATTGTCCCTTGAATACACTGGTGCCTGCCTCCTTGAGGCTAGGTCTTACTCACTCATTCTTTTATTCCCATTTCCCAGCCTGGTGCCTAGCACATAGTAGACACTTAAATCTTTTATGAATGAATGAATGAATAAATTGATTAACTAATTAAAATTTTACTCTCCCTGAGAACATGTTACATTTTCATAAAAGAAATACTTCTTTGAGAGGAATAAAAGAAAAATAATTTTTCATAATTTCTAATGAGAACTTTCATATTTTTATACTGAGGTATTAATAATCATGCTAACATTAGAAAAACTCTTTGAGGTATGCTCTTAAACTGTATAACCATGGTAACTAAGGAAATGTGCTTCAAATCCTCACCCCCCCTTTTTTTTGCAAGATAAAACTGCAGTGAGAAATTTAATGTTAAATATATTAGGAATTTTTTAATTAAAGTACATTCTCATTTTTTAATTGATAATAATGTGAGAGCAGAGATTCCCAAACTCTTTATTCAGCACTTAAATGGCTCAAAGTAAAGCTTAGCTCTGATTTTTTTGACCTTGGATATTATTTCAAAGCATTTTGGTGCTATCAAATAGAAGAGTTGGTGTTGTTCAAATTCATGAGAAATCCTTATTGATCACTGGAATGAAATGTGGAGGCTGAATTCAGTGTCATGCTTAGAGAGAGATTAGAATGTTATACCATAGAAAGTTGCCTTAGGTATAATAGGATTCTTGTCATGAGAATCCTCTGGTTGGAGTCATTTGTTAAACTTTTTTTATGATTGAAGTAGGAATTTTTCATGGTCCTGGGAATTAAGGATGGGAATTTCTGAGTTATTTTTAACTTTCAATACTTTTAATCATACTGGCTAAATTTTACCCTCAATTCTTCCTTCATTCTCATATCTAGTCAGTTGCCAACATTCTGAAATATTTGTTGCATCCTTTCTTTCCATTCTTGTTGCCATACCCTTATTGTAGGACTTGATACTTTTATAGGCAGGTTGTTGAGGTAGCTTTCTGTTTCCTGTTTCAGTTTTCTCTGTCCTTCAACTACTTTACATACTCCTGCTGATTGAAGTTAGGAATTAGGCCAATAATAAATCATCTTCTAAAATCATGTTACTGCTTTGCATATAACAAAAGTCCTATTGCCTTTAGGAATAAGGCCAGACTCCTCCAAATGTCCTTCACAGGTCTTTGTTGTTTGAGAGCAAGACTTCTAGTAGGACCCTGTCATGAAGCTGGGCTGGTTTCCTCATGTTCTACACATATTAGGTTATTAAGTATGAGATGTCTGATTTTCTTAAGTGTAAATATTAAGTTTGACAGTTGCTATCTCTGACATTTCACTTTGACACTTCTTGTTTTATTTTTATTGGGAAGGTACATCCTCAGTCTTTCAAACACACATTTTGACTCATGATTATGTTGCAGTTTTTTTTTAGAGCAATTTTTGTGAAACCGTGGATAAGTCAAATATTGATTTTATTTTCGAATGAGTTCCATCGTGGAACTAATGCAGCATAGATAGCTCAAAATATCAATGAAGTGTTTGGGAAGGATGTGGCTAATGAATGAACGCACAGTACGTCGATGGTTTAAGAAGTTCTGTTCTGGTAATTTTAGTCTTGAAAATGAGCCACATGGGTGATCGGCGACCAAGGTGGATAATGATGATCTGAAAGCGGTGAAATTATTTCCACTTTCTTTAGTGGAAATGTATCCATCACAATGTATGTGTGAATTAGCAACAATGTTTGATGTTAGTATTCCAATGATATTGGACCATTTGAAACAAATTGACAAGGTAAAGAAACTAGATAGATGGGTTCTGCATAAATTAAACGAGCTTCAGAAGAGAAATCATCTCTAAGCTTGCCTTTCTTTGCTGTCATGACCTAAAAGCGAACCATTTTTATGCCGTAGTGTTGTATGTGATGAAAAATGGAATCTTTTGACAATTACAAGTGTTCAGCACAATGGTTAGATAAAGATGAAGTGCTGAAACACAGTCCAAAACAAATATTCATCCAAAAAAGCTAATGGTGTCTGCTGGTGGTCCTGTGCTGGTATTATCCACTGCAACTTCATGAAACCTAGTCAAGTGATTCCAGAGGATGTGGACTGCAGCCAATTGGATGAAATGATGAGGAAGCTGATGATTAAGTAGCTGAGATTGGTCAATAGAGACAGGCCAATCCTGTTGCCAGACAACACTTGGCCACATGTTGCACAAACAATGCTGCTCAAATTAGAAAGGCTGGACTTGGGTACCCTCTGTCATCCACTATACTCACCAGACCTTGCACCAACTGACTACCACTTCTAGGCTTTGGACCATTTCTTGCAAGGAAGAATATTCAGTTCTCAACAAGCTGTGGAAAATGCCTGTCATGATTTGATCACCACTCTGTGCCACTCGCTTTCCAGGCTTCATCACTGGCATTAACAAGCTACTGTTAAGATGGCAAAACTGTTTCATTAGTTTAGGTGCATACTTAGATTATTTGTACTGTTTCCTGTTTGAGATACAATAAACTATACTTTTGATTTTTAATTGGACATTTCATATTTAATGACCTAATATTTCTGTTCCTTTTGTTTTCATGCCTTTGGTCATAGCATTTCTCCTGTCCACTTGAGCATTTTAAGCTCTCGTAGCAGTTGTCAACTGCTCCACTTATTTTAGCATTAAGTTATATGCTACTTTGAGTTCTAATTTATGGTTTCTTGTATTTAAATATTGTCTCCATGTCGAAAATGCAAATTTATTGAAAACAAAGATTGACCAAATGTTTGCTTATAAATGAGTTATTTGAAACTTAGAATGTGTTTTTAATAGAAAAAAAGGATATCTCATAAATAGTGCTCATGCTCCCAACCTAGTTCCCAAAGGAAATATGATACTAATGTTGTAGTTGAAATATAATACTAATAACAGCAGACTAGCATCCCATGAAGCTGCGAAATACACGAGGAAGGAGAAATCAATTCATTTTTTTCATCTTTGAGACATATAGAGATGACCCTTAGGCAAAACTTTGAAATAAGCAAATGTACAGTGTGTCTTTGGCATTCTCCCCTCATCCATTCTGAACTTTTTGTTTAATTCCATAGAGTCCTTCTCCAGTGCCTCAGGTGTTCAGTGCCACTTTCCAGCCCTCTTCCACCTCTGTGACATTTCACTTTGACTTGCTCTGTCCTACCAAAGGTCCAGTTGCTTCAAAAGTGCTTCTCTTCTCTGGTTTTTAGTGAAAATCACTGCCTCATAATGCTGGTGATCTAAGTTAGAAATTAAGCCAGTAATTATCTGATTCATTACACTTATGCAAATGTGTAGATCTCATTGCTTTCCTCTGTTAGATTTTTTCATTTTTGAAGAGGCTAACTGATTTAATAATAATTGCTGCCATTTGTCAAGCACCTGTATTTATCTGACCTATGCTAAGCATTTTAGAATCATTTTCTGATTTAATCTTTATAACAACCTTAAAGATGACGGCATTATTATTGCCATTTTAAAGGTGAGGAAACTGAGGCTCGGAAAGGTTAAGGAATTTGCCAAGGTCACACAACTAATAAACGGGGGCATCATTTGTCTAATTCCAAAGCCTATAAACTTTACCATTACATTATGTTGGCAGCCAAAACAATTTCAACAGATTTCAAGTTCATGTGAAGAAGTATTTGTAGAGTACTTACCATGTTCTGAGTTTTATACTAGCAACTCTATTAGTAGGATTTGGGGAAGTGTAGGAAAACAAAATGAAATTATTCTGACAGTATAGGGGAAGGATTCCAAACAGCAAGATGCAATCCGTGTGACAAACTGGTTGACACCTCTGTAGTCAGCAGCCTGAATTGTCCACAACTCCTTTTCAGAAAGCACACATTTGCTCAATGCTCTAAGCATTTTCAGGATATCTTAACAGGTTGTCTTTGTGTAAGCAGAAAACAAAATGAACAAATAGTAAAGGCTATTTGTAACTCAGTTGTGACCTGTATTATGTACATCCTTCCTGCATCCAACGCCCTGCCCCGCCGAACTTAGCCCAACTAAAATAACTTAACTGAATTTAATTGATAAATTATTTTTATAGATTTTTAAAAAACCTATCTTCAAGGATATTTTAAGTGTAAATTGGTTTGGTTTATTTTTAATTGTAATTCATTGACAATACATATTTAAGTTTGACCTTGTCCTTCAGAAATAATGAATTCTGTTGTGATACTCATCTACAGAGACTTTAGCAAGCTGAAACAAGACTCCTAACAGGCTGTCTTTGCCTTTTGCTAGGCACAGTCATTGGCGGCATCACTTTCTACCAGACAACTGTTACGCATTTCTCGTCGGCTGTCGCAGTACCCTAACGAAAGTCTTCACAGTGCTGTTACGAAAGCCTGCCTTTCCAGGTAAGCGCGTTCTCCTTTCTCACTCAATTCAAGTCTCTGGGTCTTTGCTAAAACTATAACATATGCTTAATTAATTGTCTATATTCACAGGTCTTAAAAAGGTATTGATCTAAATATACAGCTATTTAATATTTCAGCCTTACCCTCAGTTATTAGAACTTATTTTAGTATGTTATATTACCTTATTTAGGCATAACAACAATTTTAAGAGCTGTTTTATAGATGAGAAAACTGTCTAAGTCACTTGTTCAAGTCCTGCAGTAGTAAAATAGTGGGGTTGGGATTTGAATGCTGGTTCATGTGTCTTTTGAGTTAGGGCTCTTAAGCAATACACTTATCGCCTCTCAAATTTGTACTGGAACTTTCCATGCTTGATGATATTGCCTTGTTGGCTAAACTTAACAAAACTAACATTTTTTCAGTCTACACTAACAGTTTTCATACCAATTGGGAAGTGATTATAAAACATTGGCTTATAGAATTTTCTTAAAGGATCACATTTACATGTAACTATTTTGAAAGAATAATAAAAAAATTAAGAACAATAGCCAATAAGCCCAAAGATGTCTTTCAGATTCTTTTCATATACTCTAGTAATTATCTTTATGGTGCTTATGCTTCTTGTTTGTTCATTCCTTAATAAGAGAAATTGAAAGATAATCTATTTTCAGTTTAAGAGAATCTGTATTGCCCTCTGTGACTCTTCAGTTTAGTGGACAAGTTTTCTTGTAGTTAAATTAAGCTTCTTGTGTTAAACTTCTTGTAAATTAAGCTTCTCCTCTCCAACGTCTTTAGAGTAATTCTTTGAAAAACTAATAATTATGAGAAATAAAAAATTGATTTCCTTATTTTTTTAAGTAGAATATTAAACTTCCAAATGAAAATTGGAAAAATAATGCTTCAATTGCTTATTTTTCAGTTATGAACTGAAGAACATACAGAGAGATAGCTTCATTACCTACACAATATTTTATCGGGACTTGGTTATAGGTATGAGATCATAGAAGTAAATACAGACTGCTAAGTAATATACACAGTTTGGGAGTCTAAATGAAAATAATACTTTAGTTTTATTAGAATGAAATAATGATAGCCAAAGCATTCTACAGTCTGTTAGATATACCCTGGTAATTGAATCAACTTTCAATTTCCAGGCTGGGTAACGTGGCCTCATGCCTGTAATCCTAGCACTCTGGGAGGCTGAGGCAGGAGGATCACTTGAGCTCAGGAGTCCGAGACCAGCCTGAGCAAGAACCAGACCCCATCTCTACTAAAAAAAAAACAGAAAAATTAGCTGGGCACGGTGGTGCAAACCTATAGTCCCAGCTACTCGGGAGACTGAGGCAATAGGGTCCCTTGAGCCCAGGAGTTTGAGGTTGCTGTGAACTATGATGATGCCACCGCACTCTAGCATGGGTGACAGAGCAAGGCTCTGTCTCTAAAAAAAACCAAAACCCCCAAAACAAAAAAAAATCCTTTTAGTTTCTCTTATTTAAAAAAGCAAATAAAAATACTAAAGTGAGACTTGATCTAAAAAATAAACAAGAGTGATCAAAGTTTGAAGAAAACCTAAAGTGGCTAAGAATATGGAAGGCTGCCAAAGTTTAGTTTATTAATAATTCATTCACACAGCCTATATAGAAAATGTGAGAACATTTTAAATAAAGCTCAGAGAGAATTAAGAAATGAGTTTCTGTCAGATGTGTTATTATCTCCTTTGGACAGATATTCAATTCAATATGGAAAAGTAATTTCAGAATGATTCCATATTTCCTCTATTTGAAGCATAAAACTTAATGGATCTCTTCTAAGACCAAATATTTTTTAAATGTATAGAACTACTTCTCAGCCTCATTACTAATGAGATGAAATGTAAAGCAATAATCAGCCACGGTTTTATACTTTAAAAATTTTTACTTATAAAACTTAAAATTTTTTGTGAGTTGAAGGGAATGGAATTTCATCACTACTGTTGTGATGGAACTTTCATCACTTTAGAGTTGAACTCACAGTATCTTCATGCCTAAATATATTAATACTCCGATTTGACAGCTCTGCTTCTTGATTGATATCTGCCTCAGAGATAGACTTAACTGTGTATATAAGGAGATATATAAAAGAATGTTATTGCATTATTGTTTGTAACAATGAAAAACTGAAACAAACTGTCCATCAGTAGGGAATGAATATATCAATTTATATATTCATTCCCTACTGATGGACAGTATGAGATCAAATACTGTATAGTAGTATAATTTAAGTAAACTACGTATATCCACAATTGTGTATCATGACAACTTAATAATAAGTGAAAAAAGCAAACTGCAGATGAAGATTTGGTGTATGTTGCCATTTGTATAAAGTGTTAAATACAATAAACAGCACAATATATTTTTTACTCATTCATACTTAAAGAGCAAAATTTAAAAATATGAACAAGAAATGCACACCAATTTTAGGGTTAGAGTTACTTTTAGAAATGAAGAGGGATGAATCGAATACTTAATATTCTCTGTAATTTTCTGTAATATTCTCCGTAATTTTCTGAAATACTGAGATATTTAATAGTTTAAAAATTAAAAAATAAAAAATGCTTATTTTTCATCCTCATACATTTTTCAATGAATCAAATAATCAACTAATTTTTTCAGTTTTATCAACTGACCACAGTAAAAGTCTGTTTTCTTATCACCTCCTGACCCTTTTGGCTATAAATTAATAGTAAAAGAGCTATCTTTTTTATGCATCATCTGTTGACTTTAGCAAGGCTATAACATTAAAATCCTTTTTATTAACTATCTCTTCAGAATAACACAATGCCAGGAAGAAACCAAAATATTATTGGTGCATAAAGTGCTTTATTTATTTTTTAAATGACCTCATTCCATATTGAAGCAGTGAAAAAGAACTGAATTTTGTGGAAAATTTTAAAACAAAAATTGATATAAGTTATATCATACATTTTTTATTAAGCAAACAAAGTCAAAAGAAATTATCCAGCCTAAATGTATTAAACATTAAATTGATTAAATATTAACTAGGTTTGTTTTCTTATTAAGTTTTTAAAATATTATTCATTTATTTGTTTATGCCAATTAAATCTAGATTGCAACAGTTTTTATCTGAAGTAACAACTCCCTAAGCACTTCATTCTCATAGCCTATAATATGGACTTCAACTCTTGGAGCTTGAGACATAATTCATTTTCTAGATATTTGAAAACCTGAGACACTACAGGGAAATAAATTTAGAAGATGAGGAAATTTTCAGGTATTTTGTATCCCCAAAATGCTTATATTGTAGAAGAATTAATTAGAAGTTCCTGTATTAAGAGTTCTACTTCATTCAAATATTTCGTATTCCATTAACTTATTTACTTCTGGAAAATTTGGGGATGATATTCTTTAGCATAGAAGTTTTGGGCAGAGTTATAAGAATTTAATCAGAAAGGAAGATTTAACTGTCTTTAGTATTAAGGCTATGAGCAAAGTATTCTATTTATCAAAAACTCAGTTTACAACTAATGGACACGGTGAGCATTGTAGAGGGAAGGCCGTGGCTCTAATCCTCGCTTGGATGAGGCAATGACATAAAATGTAACCAAAATGTTTGTACTCTCATAATATCCTGAATAAAAAAAAAAAAAACTTAGTTTATATACATTTTTCACAAATTCCCTTGTGGTATAAAATGAATAACATCTATATAAAATTTTCATTGTTTAAACTGTTAGCTAATTAATTTTTAAAAATTGCAAGCCTAATAGAACATCATAAACAGTATTAAGTGCGATTATAATGGTCATTGTTGATATGAATTTTTTTGTTTTCTTGAAGAATGATTTTGCTTGTAGGAAAAACTATTCAGAGATTTATTTTTAATTTTAAAAACTGACATTCAATTTTTTAATGCTATAATTTAAAAAAATATAGATCTTTAGGCTTTTCTGTTCATTCAACTAACTCTGTAAGTCTGTCCGATATTAACACTCACTTTAAAGGGCCTTTGAAAAATATTTCATCACATTTATAAAACTTTGCTAAATTAAATACTTTCACATGTTTGAAACTGTATTAATATATTTTATATATTCTGTTTCCTTTTAAGGACTTCAGATGTCTCAATTAACAAAATTTCTTAGAAATTAATGCACAAGTATAACAAATTTATAAATAGAATGAACCATAAGTTATCTTAAATATTCCAATATTGTTTGAAAATGTAAGATTTACCAACATAAATTAATTAATTAATTACACATTTTAAATAGAACTCAAAGATTGCCTGATGTCCACTGAGCCTCTCAAATCTTTTTCTCTCACTCTTCCTATTAGTCTTTTTCTCTCAGGGCTGGTAATTTGAGAGCATTCCCTGCCCTTACAGCATACTGCTGTCTCCTGCTGCTATTTTATTCCTTAATCTAAAGAGCCAATCCTATTCCTGTGACAGAGACACAGTTATTTGAGTTAGCCTATGGTAACTACTATATTTCTGTTTCTGGATTTCCCAGAATATAGTTGAATCTTTCCTTAGTTTTTCTTATAACCAAGCCCTGACAAGACTACAGGCTTTCCAATTCATTTTTTGCTTGTGGTAAAGAATGATAAATATAAAAGTCACCAGGATGTTCATAATAGTGATAAGTACACCAAGAATATTTGAAACACGATGTGTGCTTGCTTTGGTTATGGGAGGGTAGGATAGAAGGACTGATATTTCATACATTCATTTATTTACTTACTTTACCAAAGATCAGGGAAAGAGAAGAAAAAATAAGTAGAAAATATCAGTGAGCAAATGGGAAAGGAAAGAGTTAACTAATCCCTTGAAATCTAGGAATATAATAAGGGTTGGCCTCACACCACCTGATATGCTTCATTCTCCTTATTTGTTGAGTGGGCCAATATCTTTTTAGAATTTAGGTTCTAGATGTACATATATTTCAACTTCCATGCTACCTCTGATTATTTGATAGTGCTGTGTGCTAGATTGAGAATAATGGTGAAGCATGTTTAATCTCAGCAGGAAAGAATGCCTTATTAGCAAGCAATGCCTGCCACTGCTTTTGTAAGGGAGGCATATGGGCCATTTGTAGGCTTTGGAGGGCAGTCTAGAAATGTTGCAGAACAGGACTAATGTCAGGATGTGTTGACAGACAGATCATGTAGATGTCAGGGATGTCTGGGAATAGCAAACAAGCCTAACCTTGAAAGCAGTCATTGCCAGTCAAGGTGGTCTGATAGGAATAATGGAGATGTAGCTACCGGACCTAATGTTACCAGACCAGACTCTAGTTTGTGGGGTAGTGGTGAGAGGAAGTTTGGGCTGGGTCCAAGACAAGGACTCAGGAAACAGGATAAAAGCCCAGTTTGGGGGCTGGAAGATAAGGTGAAGGCTTAGTTTTGAACAGCAAGCTAATGATCTAAGAATTATGATGAAAGGTCATAGATGAGCAACAGTTAAGTTGGATTTGATACTGAACTGAAGAGCTACTGACCTAGAGCTGTATAAATTCCCTTATCCTAACCTAGCACCAAAATGAAGCAGTAGGTAAGAGGTAGTGTCAGATATGCAGATTGGAATATCATAGGGACAGGAATCTTGACAATTCTTTTACATGCTTGTCTACTGGCTATTTCACTCACATCAACCTCTCCTCTGCTGGAGCTTAGGCTCAAGACTGTGCGAACTATTAATACCACCAAAGATTTAGCAATGTGGAGAACCTAAATTAGAGGTGGTATGTTCTTGGTATGTTTATTTGGAACATTGTCTCATATAATGATTAGTTTATAGTAGTATAGTACAGGTAGCCGTGATTTAAAATCATTTCTTTGGGCTCACTTGGGATCATGAATTCTAGATATAACTTTGTGTGGTGGGAAACTGTTTCATGTTTCAAGCACATGATACTCATAATCTGTTTGTTTTGAAGAATATGTCTGTCACTCACCAGATTGTTGTTTTGACAACATACATATAGAATAGATGAGCAAATATTTTTCTTATGGAAGGAAAAACCAGGCTGGATAATCTTAAATTCATTCAATAATTTGTGTTAGAAAGTAAAGAAAACCTCATTAATTCACCTCCACTGATCTGAATGTGTGATTGCCAACTTAGAACAGGCTAGAGTGTTGTTTTACCTATTTAAGAAAATTTGATAAGCCAGTTAAATAGTAAATAAGATTTATGAGTTATACTAAATCCACTAAAGAAAGCAAATTATTTTAAATCTTGTTCTGCAAAATGTACATATATGAGTACTGCTAGTTACAAATAAGCTTTACTTTAAAGGAGATGCCATAAACATACAATTCATACATAAAGTTTATATTTATTCTAAAATTTTGCATGATTTGGATTTCACAGGTCCAGACTAATCTTCCTTAATTGGATGTAATTAGTAAAGGGGTGCATGTGTATGTTAAAAGATAGTTAAGAATCACAGAATGCCTTGACTTTATCCATTCTTCTCTCCCTCCCCCCAGGTTTCTACCAAGCCTTGCTAGGATAGCATTAGAAAAAAATCTGGCAGATGCTTCAATAGAAATAAGTACTAATGACAATGTGGAACCAGAACTGAAGGATTACAAATGTAAGTGTTTGGTTCTTTTTTAAGTGAAATAATAAACATTAAACATTTGATGCTATTTATAATTTTAAATTCAATAAAAATATTTTTGTTTGCATCCATTTTGTTTTATGTGTTAGGTTGCAGAAATGAATCTGTTAGTATTTTTTTGTTTTGAAGTTTGAAAACCACTTATAAGTTAAATCAGAGAGTATTTACTTTATTTTCGTATATACTAGATACAGTTCCCCCTCCCTTAAGTCACAATTGATAGTAACATATTAAAGGCTGTGAGAATTCTTGCTGTAAAACAACTTGTCTAATTTCGATGATTGTATTTTTCCCAAATGTATTTCACCAATGAATCTAGAATTCTGTTTTCTTTCCACAACATATTTTGAGGGCCACTAATATCCTATGGTACATGTTTGGGAAACTTTTCTAGGTCATTACAGACTAAAATAATAATCAGAATACCATTGCAAGCCCCCTTCCATTTCTACCTGTATTATCTTTTATGGTAGTTTTCTTCTAGAAAACTGTAAATATAATTTTGAGTTTTGGAGAGATTTAGCTCTTCTTGTAAAAGTCCCCTATTCTTCAATTAGAGCACTTTGAAAGTGCTTCAGTTTTTTAAAATGTAATTACCTATTTTATCAAAACATCCAATGTGTGACCACTCTCCGAAGGAGACTATTGTGGCTCTCTTTGTAGTAGATGTTTTTAATAGTCAAGGCTACACAGAGACAATAACTTGGTATTAACGAAATAAGATGACTTTTTAGAGTAAAATTATAGACTTGGCATACCAATGGATCTGAATACAGATATGCAGAGCCAACTCAAAGAGACAGAGTAACTCTGGGACTTGTAATCTCATAATGTTGTTTGATTGAGTGTATTAACATATCCAAAGAAAGACTGCCATTCAGGCTGTAGATTGTGTGGTCTCAGTTACAGGCCAGTGTTATTAGTGCCCAGCTAAGCCTTCTATAGGTGATAAGGCACCTAAGTGAAGAGACATTTTACTTCTCTGGTTCCATTCAATGTTAAGGCAATCTCTCATGGAGAATTCATTTAATTAACTTTCCTTGGTCAGGGTCTATCCTCACAAAACGGCTTTCTGATGAGGATTTCGCTTTCTAATGCAGGTCTCCCTCCAAATAATATACTGGTTGTGGCAACCAGTGTATCACATAGTCCATGTGAAAGTTGCAGTTTTCATTTTGCTGTAATAGTTTGCAATTCTGATTTTATATCAGAATATATATATATAGAGAGAGGGAGAGACCAGAACATATGTCTTTAATATTCTCCTGAAAGTCAGATTTGCCATTTAGTTGTGGTGACAAAATCAGGTTTAGAGCCTGCTAGGCTGAGGACTTTGACAAATTTACCAAAATCATTCCATCCTGTGAGTGTCTTAGAAGATAGCCAGATTTCTCCTAGAGAAATCACCATTCTATGAGTGCATTACCCTTTATGAGCTTGAAATTTTAATAATAAACATTGGCTGAGTGAATTAAATTGTCTTAAAGCCCTAAATCTATTGAGTGAATATGTTCCAATAAACTAAACCATAGATAGCATCAGATGCTGTTTGAATCTGAAATTATATGTGTCATCTCAGGCAACATACAAGTATATAGTAGATTCACTGACACATTTCTGTTCTTTCCCTTTACACTTTTATGTCTATTTCAGAGGTCTAATGGTAGTAAATAAATAGTAAACTCTCAGTGTGACTGCTCATGGTTTTCCTTTTCTATTGAAGGTTATTGTTAAGATCTACTGTGCTTTGGCAAATGTGTAGCACTCATAAACAGGGTGACAGTTTAATTATTTTTAGCTCAAAATTGTTCACAGTATTCCATAGAAGCAAATGTTGCTTTCCCCCCTTGTCTTTCAAAATGCTTTAGTACAAAAATAGCATTCTAGAGGAGAAGCAAACTGTAATTTTCTTATTTGAAGTAGGAAAAAAAAAGATGGATGAATTGTTTAAGGCATTGTAATTGTGTATCTGCTTGCTTGGGTATTTCCACAGGATGGAATATTATTCAGAGTCAAAAGATTGAATATACATTACATGGTAGAAAAAATGTCAGACTGCTTCAAGCTGTACCCTGGGTGATTTTAAACAACTTAATGTGTATTCTTCTTAGTATCCTCATAATTCTTGCCTCATTAGTAAGAGAATTATATGAAATTATATGAGAAAAAACTAGATGAAGCTCCTAGTTTGTGATCTGGTACATAGAATGTCCTCAGTAAATGATAGCTTCTATTATTGGGATCATTAGCAATTACTACAATACTGCTATTAATGTTATTGACCTTGGAACATGTCAGATAGTGAACAAGTGTATGTGGTTAACATAGGGAATACACGTGAGATATGTTCCTTGATTTCAAGAAACTTACTATTTAATTTCCTGGTTTCAAGGAGCTCATAATCTATTCTAGGCCAACCTATTAACAGCAAATAGGGCACAATACGATAATAATTATTACAGGTTAATTGTGTAGAACAGAGGTGTCCAATTTAGCTCAGTGTCAGAACCACCTTGGTGCTTATTTGAAAACATAGATATGCTAGACCACCCTTGAAAATAGTAATATAACAGGTCTGGGATAGGTCGATCCATCTGTATTTTTTACTAGACCTCTGGGGGATTCTCTTATAGGGTTTTTCAATGGATGAGCCCTAGAAAATGATATTCAAAGTATTTCAGAACTTTTTAATGGCTATTTGGCTTATGTATATGTTATAGTCTCTGACCAAACAAGCTGAGTGTAGAGCTATGATGCTTTATCACCACCTTCAAGCTTATTTCTTTAGATGTTAGATTGAAATTCCTTGAAGAACCCACAGGTATTATAGAAGCTGTATTGCATTCTATGTTAGGAGGCTTGGCTTCTCTGAGGACAGTGCTCTGAATAATCCTTGTCTTGTGTGGAATGTTTAGGTGAAATCACATCTGGATCTCTGAGGATTGGTGCTGTTAGTGCACCAATCTATAATGCCCATGAGAAAATGAAAGTGCCTGATGTTCTGTTCTATGACAACATTCAGGTAAGAGCATTGCTTTGTATTCTTAGATAAATCATTTACATTGTGATAGTAAACTCTGGAAATCAATGTGTAATTATTTTTGTAATTCCCTAAGTTCAATTTAGATAATGCATAATAAAGTATTGAACATATTTTATTAAGACATTATAAAACAAAACTCTTTCCTTTCCAGAGATGCTTGAAAATTGGAGGAGTTGTTGGTATGATTAGGATAATACATTTTATATACACACATGTACACATACTGTACTTAAGGTAAATAACATGAATACATTATTAAATTCAAAACATAAAAGAGCTACTCATTGTCTCTTTTCCTTGCTTGTTATATCATTTCAGTAGTTCAAAGAGAGTTATTTCCTGTGCATCTTTTTCTCATACTCTTTTCTTTTTCTTGAAAGTTTTTAGTGTTTTTCTTTTCTTTCCTTTTTCTTTTTTTTTCTTTTTTTTTTAAGGGATGAATGTAGAGTATTCCCCACACTTATAAACAATAATTATGGGCCTTCAGTTAAGGCATAGAAATAAATTTATACCTAGAAAGCTTTATGGTAGATGTTTAATAAGAATTTTTTAGAGAAAATTATCCCCAATATAAAAGTCTTTTTCTCTTTCAAATTTTCTGTCAAGTGGTTATATGTTTCTTTTATAATAAAAAACATACTTAAATTTTTCTATAATACTTAGTCACTAATCTTCATGTAAATAATCTTATAAATTACAAATGATGTTAGAAGAGTTTGGCTTTACTATTTTTACTGTGTTAAGGAGTTAGCAAAATTAAAGTAAAATTTCTTGTTTAATCTGCCATTCCCCAATTTTGTTGTTTAATGAGTACCATCATTTATATCCCAAAATTATATTAACAGTGTAAGTATCTAGACAAATATTCTTCTTTCTCAATAAAAATCTTGGTTAAAAATTTTTGAAATCTTTCAAAACTGTGACTATTATCTATGATATAGAAAAAGGTATAAGCTGGGCTTGCTTTTATTCACTCTATAGCCAATGAACTAATATTATATAAGTTTTATTTTCCTTCCAGAGAATGCTCTTGAACAATCAGTAGACAACCAAACAGAAAAAAAATTACTTACAAGACAGAACAGAGGAAAAAAAAAACTTGCCTATCAAATAAAGACAAAAACATGATTGTAGGGAAAATATACTGTTTCCAAGCATTGATGGTATCACACTATATTCATGTAGTGGAAAGGAACAAAGAAAAAAAAGCATCAGGATACTGTTATAAGTGACAATTTGAAAAGCTCCATGGTAGCAAAGGTTGAAAAGACTTCACAGGATATAAGAATGTAGGAAATTCAGTAGCAAGAAGCAAAGAACCATTGTGCCCTTGAACACAATGTCTGTTGCCATGGTGTTCCTGACATAGACATTGAGGACTGCAGGGCTGCTGTGAACTTTACACAGTGGCCCTGAGGGACTTTTTGTAAGCTGTCTCTAAGCGTACTTTCTCTTCATAAAACATTCTGAATTAACCGTTAATGAAAATTTTCTAGCTATCCCAATTCTAGGGCCAGTAGCTTGATTAAATTTGCTTCCATTGTGTATATTACTATTTCCTTTTATGTTGTTTCATCTTTGAAACAGCAGTCTTCAGTGCTTATTCCAGATTTAGGTGTTTCTACACCATCTTGTTCTATACCCTCTTGTCCCCATACCACATTGTGTTGAAATTGATTTTTTTAAATGTGTTTTTTCATATCACTAAGGCAAAACCCTGTGTTTTCTTTGTTTTCTATCTCCAGCAAATAACAAAGTACCTGGCACATAGTAACTGCTAAGTAAATGTGTTGTGTGGATTAATGAAAGAATGAATATGATTTTGAATGTTCATGATAAAGGGTATTATTTTATTAAATCTTTCATTAAGGAATATTATACTTGCAGCAGTAAGGAGAACTTGGACGAAAGAGAGATTAATAGCTTCTTAATAAGCCTGAGGAGTTTTAGATCTGAAAGAATTTTAAAATATCTAAAATGTGTCAGGCCTTCTCCTATGGTATTAGGAAATACAGATTAAAATATATACACAAGCATATGTAACTCTAGGACTCAAATTGCTCATAGTCTAATAGAGGAAACAGACAAGTGAGTACATATAGTTGCTACTCAGTGTGATAAAGTATGTGTAGGTTACTATGCTAGCAATGATGGGATGAAGGGCTTAGATTGGAATGATCATAGAAAATTGGTTAACTGGGCAAAAGTAGGAGAGTCCCACAGGTAGAGAGACTAGCATTTGCAGAGACTTGGTTATATGAAAGGGTAGCTCATTTAGGGAGCTACGTATAACTATTATATTAATAATTGTCACTGATGCAGTTGAAGCTGCAAATGGAAGAGTGTCAAGAGATGAGGCTGGTGAACTAGGAAAGGGTCAGATCATCTGGGCCTTGCTGATTAAGGGATTTGTGTTCTATTTAGAAGAATGAGGAAGTCATTGAAAGATTTTAAGCACAGTTGTACTTTTGCTAACTTTGCTTTTACTCTTTAATGTTGTCTAGGGGTTAGACCAAAGCAAAGAGAAACTGGTTAGGTCATTATTGCAATAGTCCAGGTGAAAGTTATAAAGGATCTGAACTAAGGAGATGACAGTAGGACCACAGTGGAGACACATTGCAGGCCTGTTTAGGAGATAGAGTCAGTGGAGTTTTTTGTTAGATGAAAGACAGAGATTCTTTCTCAAGGAGTTCATAGTCCGGTGGGAGAGTAAATAGAAAATTTTTCTAAATTGTGTCCATAACTGGGGCACTATAGGAGAAGGAGAGTTGTAGGACATGAGGCTGAGACTAGATTAACAATGTAAGGAATGACCTTTGTTCCTAAATTATTAGGAGTCACTTAAGGAATTTTGGAAATATAAAGTGACAGGATTTTGAAGAAAGAAATGATTTGTCAGTACCGTAAAAACACATTGGTTCAGGGAGAGACTGAAGTTAGAGAAGCTAAATCAGCTAATGAAAATCTAGGCCAGAGATGATAGAAACCTGAATCAAAGCTGTGGAGAAAGAAAAGAAAAGATAGCTATGGTTGAATTTGGTGGCTTTACAGCTCAGATTTGGTGTTTAGTTGGATCTGGGTAAGGGAGGAATAAGGTGCGCAGGCAGCTGGGGTTTGGTGTGGTGGTAGAAAATGATGCTGTTAATTGGGAAAAAAAGATAGAAGGTAAAGAATGAAGTGGAGGAAAAAGTAATAAGCTGAGTTTTAGACACGTTGAGTTTTGGAGATTGGGGAATGACCAGTGGCTTAATCGTCACTTAGAAATACAGGCTGGAATTGAGGAAGAAAGTCTTGCTCTTGAAGATCAGTGTAGAGTTGGTAGTTGAAGCCATGAGATAGATGAGAAAATTTAGGGAGCAGAGAGTCAGAGCATGGTCCTCAAACACTGACATGTGGGTACCCAACACTGCACACAGTCCTCCTCCAACCCTCAGGTGGGGGCCCGGGTACCAATAGGCAAAACCTGTTCTGCCTCACACTGTGACAACAAAGGGAAGCATGTAAAAGGTAGAAAGAGAGAACAAATGGTGGCACTGTGGCCAAAATCAATATCTAAGGAAGTGCTACAAGAAGATCCAGCCCAGAGGACTATGGAGAGAAATTGTTAGGGAGGTAGGAGGGAATCGGGAGAAACAGACAATTGGGGGAAGAGGCTTTGAAGAAATTGTCTACAGTGCTAAGTGAGCCAAGAGATTAAGAGAAGAATTATGTTGGCAGTGACTTTAGCATTAGCTAATGTTTGTTAATTTGAATAATCTAGTTAGATATAATGAGGGCACAAAGTAGGGAGGACATGAGAATAGTAAAGAAGACAAGAATACAAATATTTTTTAATTATTTTACGTTGCTTTTTTTACCTGGCTATGCAAGTGTTCATTCCAAATTTTCTATATATTCCTCATGCAGATTAGCCCATTTATTCCTGGAAGAACTTAGTGTTGTCTGGAAATTGGCACTGAGTTTTCATCTTAGTGAAAAGGAAGAAGCCTCCAGACTGTTTTACCACCAGAACTCAGATGTGCTAGGGTTCCCTTTTATAGGGTAACCATACATCTCAGTTCACTTAAGATAGTCTCTGTTTATACTTGTTGTCCTCGCATAATTATTAATAGTTCTTTAATAATTAATTTTTTAATAATTAAATAATAATTTTTTAATAATTAAAATTATTAATTTCTTTTTATTCTTAAAAGTGTTCCAGAATGGACAATAAATGGATATGCTCACCTTACTTCAAGCCTTACTAAAACTCTAGCTTCCTGGTATATCTGAAAGCATTCTAAAAAATGCATTTTAAAAACTACCAAGACAAACATCAGGGAATACTCATTTGTTCTTGAAGGAGCGAAAAAACTTTCTCAGTTTTTCTTCGTAAGACAGAAATTCTGAAAGAAAATATTGTTAAATTAGATAAGTAAAAAGAAAAATTTCAAGATATTAAAAAAAATACCATAAACTAAATTTAAAAAAGGAAAATCAGGTGGCACACTAGAAGAATGTCTGCAGTGTATATTAGATGTGAAGGGGTTACTTTGCCTTTTTACAAATAGGGAACTTTAGTGCTCATTAAGTATTTAATGAGACTGCTATTGACTTGATAGAGAAAATCAAGAGAAAGTACTAGGAATAGTAATTGTGCTGGAATGTAGGTCTCCCCCCAAAACCCCAATGAGTCTTTGTGACCTACTTATGAGTGTCCTGTATCTCAAAATAAAAGAGAGTGATGTTATTTCCTCTGTGGCTATTATGAACAAATTTAATCTTGTTCTTTTATCATATTGTATCATAATTCAAATAAAAACAAGTAGAAAGTAAATAATATATTTTTAATTCTAAAGCTATACATAGCTTTAAAGGTAATGGTTAGGAACAAGTCAGTGTAAAATGGTCCATGGCAATCTTCAATTATTTTAGGAAGCCTTTGTAATATTTACATTAGCAAGTGTCAATTTAAACATTATATTAAGTTGCAAGCCAACTCTACCTAGTTTAATAAGTGAAAAATAGTTGAATTATAAAAACTCTTTGAAATATTGGTCAGTCGCTTAGTCTTGCTCAGGTGGACTATTTTAAGTTTTCAGTATCAGTGACCTAATTGGTTATATAACTTATAATGACAGCATTAATTTGTGTTTTTTTTAAATCAAAACATTTGATTTTGTTTATCATAATGTTTTACATTCCATGATGATATCTATAGTTAATTGTCTTACTTGATTATGCAAAACACAATTAACCTCTGGTTCTTTTTCCTCTAGCACATGATAGTGATGGAAGATATGCTCAAAGACTTTCTTCTTGGAGAACACTTATTATTGTTGGCAACCAGGTGAGTTATGGCTGGAACTCATATACTAATGAATAAATGGTAGCAATTGTTTAAAAACAGTAGGTTTGTTCTTCTTGTCAGAGTTAGTTTTTAGAAATGATTCTTTTTCCAAATTAAATGATGGTTTAGTTAAAGGCCAAGAGTCTACTACCTTCTAAACTTCAGAATTACCTCAAGGCTTAATTTGCCCCTATTCAATCCCCATCAGTTCTATCAATTCTACCTCATTAGTATCTACTCTTCTTGTCTACTCTGTTACCCTAGCCCCAGTTATCAGCATCTATCACTGGGGTTACAGAAATAGTTTCCTCCCATAGCTCTACCCCCACCTTAGGCCCAATGTGATCTACTTTCCACTCTGCTGCCAGATGTAAAACTAAAATATGATTGAATCTCTCTTGTTGTTTTGCTTAAATTGGCTCCCCATTGCCTTTAGGTATAGTCTGAGTTTTCAGGATGGCATACAGTCCTACAAGATCTGGCCTCTGCCTACCTCTCTAGTCCTAAGCCTTGGCCCCTCCTATCTCTCCGCGTTGGCCTGAGGCACTCTGAGCTTCCTTCACTTTCTTATCGCTGCTCTGGTCCTTGGTGCAGGCTCTTCTTTCTGTATGGAACATTTCCTTGACCCCTTCCCGTGTACCCTGCCCCTAACTCATAGGAGGGAGGCTTTCCCTTGTCCCTAGCTAAGTTAGGTTTCCTCTGCTTCTATTTCCATCTATCTCCCTTTTATTACACTAGTCATATGGTACTGTATTTGCATGTATTAATAGAATGACTGTCTTCCCAATTTGTCTTTATGTTCGTCGAGGGCAGGGACCATGTTTCTCTTGTTCATCTCTGTCCTGGGTTCCTAGCATGGTACCTGCTGCATAGTAGATATTCCGTATGTGTTTATGGAGGGAACAGATGGATATTTTATACTTAGAGGGTTCTGATAATTTTTCTTAATTGAATTATCAGATCCATAGCAAGCAGCATGTTTGGTTTTTTAAATTGGCCTTAAATTAAAAGTAACAAGGTCTCCAAAGTAGTTTGGTCTCTATTTTTCTTCTTTTTTGGTACTTACAAAAACCATACATATTCTTTATATATTTAGCCATTCAATCTTATTTTAAAGTGTTCATTTTCTTTTTAATGGGCCAATTGAGTGGCTTACTGGTTATGTGCATAGGTTTGGAAGTTAGCTAACTAGAGGTTCCACTCTTCTACATATGGCTGTGTATCTTTGTGCAAATTGCTTATCTTACTAAAACTGAGTTTCCTGACGTCTAATCTGGGATTGAAAATAATGAGTGCTCTTTTAGGCCAATGTAAGGATGACTTGAGATAACACATGGAAAGTACTTTGACACAGGACTCAGTTCTGCCAACTAAAAATAAAATCTGTATATCACTGTATAGCTTAAAAGTACTTTAATATTCTCTTGTTTCATTTTTTCTAAACAAGAATTAAAAGTAGAACAATAAATTTTTCATGGCCCTTTTTTTCCCACTATTTGAAAAGTATTACCTACTTTTCTTTCTCATAAGGCATTTTTCCTGATGAGAGTATATACCAGAGTGGGAGGATGAAGATTAGTTAACAGTCAGTATTTGGTCTTTGAAAATGAAACCCAGGATGTCAGGGTCTCATCTCACTTTGAAAAACAATGACTCTGTGGACATTTAAGTCTTATATAGCCCATAGTGCTTCATGAGCTTTTTATAAGTTAAATTCTGGCACACTCAGTGTGTCCTTTTCAGAACCTTTGTCATCACCTGAGTGGCCTTAGACACAAAGGCTGTTGGCATCTCAGCCACAGCAGACCAGCACAGCAAAGAGAATAGATCAAGAATATATAGGGCTTGGGCTTGAGGAATAAATTTTAGAGGAATAGGCTTTCAAAAGAAAGGTTCCTAGAAGTTAAGATATGATATGCCAGTGGTTTTGAAGTATCTCAGATGGTATTGATGCCCTAAGAGTTTGGTGGGTGGAATGCAGTGGGAGTTTCTTGGCAAAGGTAGTACTTATAGTTGAGCAGGTAATAGAGTCAGGGTTTCAGGAAGCTCTTCTAGGTTAAAAAGTTGACATTAGAACCCCGCCAGTACTCAGAGAGACAGGGAGCCTATTCTAACGTCTGGAGGATTAAGGAGAGCTATGTGGAGTGAGGGGTGATGTGAAATAGAAACTTGCTTATGCTTTATGATAAATGAAGAGGCTGTGAAAGTGTTTTGAAATTATTCTATAGTGGCCAGGCGCGGTGGCTCATGCCTGTAATCCTAGCACTCTGGGAGGCCGAGACGGGCGGATTGCACGAGGTCAGGAGTTCGAAACCAGCCTGAGGAAGAGCAAGACCCCGTCTCTACTATAAATAGAAAGAAATTAATTGGCCAACTAATATATATAGAAAAAATTAGCCAGGCATGGTGGCACATGCCTATAGTCCCAGCTACTCAGGAAGCTAAGGCAGCAGGATTGCTTGAGCCCAGGAGTTTGAGATTGCTGTGAGCTAGGCTGATACCACGGCACTCACTCTAGCCTGGCAACAAAGCGAGACTCTATCTAAAAAAAAAAAAAAAAATTCTATAGTGCTATATAAACGTTGGTGTTGTAAAATCTAATATGCTACCTCTCATCTGTTTCCAGTCCCAAAGAAGGGACCCAAGGGCTAGGCAATGGGGTGAATGGGGTGGAGGAAAAAGCAGCTACGACTCTATAGATACTTGGTTGCATCTGGTGGGGATGGGCAATCCCATTGATTTTCAAACCTGTCTGGAGTTAGTTCAGGAGGCAGCTGGGTATATCCTGCAGGTTGAGGATCCTCAGGAGCAGCAAGGCAGGGCCATGGGTTATACAAACTTCTGTCAGTCCTTTCACAAACTTTATCTGTGGTCAGCAGTTCAACCCTTGTTCTGCCAGCCTCCACATTGGAGAAAGAAGAGTTGACAAAGGAATCTTGTATTCAGTATAATTTGCTACAGTTAGCTGGCCTTTTTCATATCAGAAGAGTTTTCTGTTTTTTCATTATAAACCTCTAAGACCATTAGTGTCATATCATAGTATCAACATTGAAGGAACACTTAGATTTTGTAAATAAATTCTGTTACCTGTGTTTTCTAGTGAAAAAGTCATAACTATCTTAGACCGTCATGTGATGTCCCACTGTGCTTTCAGTCTCATTCCTCCCCTCAAACTCTCGTCCTTAGGTAAATTAAACTCTCTTGTTTCCCAAATATATCCCAGCCTCTGGCCAATATATCTTGGCCAGAGCACTTGAACTCTTCTTTCCCCTATTCTTTGCCTGTCTGAAGCCCTTCAATTCACAGTGTGGTATATGGAGAGGAAGTAAGCTGGGAATCCAAAGACCTACCTTCTTGTAAAGGTTTTTTAACTTTCTATGTGGTATTGATTAAATTGCTATTCCTCCTAAAAGGGCCTTTTCTTTTCTTATTTCTTATTTGTAAAATTATAAAGTTGGAATGGGTATTTTCTAGGTTCCCTCTAGATGTAATATTCTATAATATGCTTCTTTAATAAAGTATTCCCAAACACTACAGCTTAAAGGTTTGACTCCACTCTCTGAACTGTCATAGGTGGTGATTTATAGATTTCTTATGGACTTCTGTTAGACTTATTGGTCTGCCTGCCATCTCTATGAAAAAGAGAGCTCCTTGAGAAGAATCTTCGTTATTTTTGCGTTCTTTCTGATGCCTTGCGTGAGGTAGACATCCAACAAATCTTTGCTGAATGAATTACTGGATTTTAGAGGACTATTTAAAATAAATTCCTAATGAGTAGTCACAATGCTTTAGAAATAACTTGAACTTAAAATTCAGGCTTAGTTGGATTATTTTTAGGGGATTCTGAGACAAATTGACTGAATTTCTTCTGAGAGCTTACATTTCTTTAGTGAAGGAAATAGATGAGTTAAATAGAATCTAGGGACTACGCACTGGAGAGTAAATAGTTAAGTAGCCCATTTAGCTAGATCTGGTGCCACATGATAGGATCAGAGACTGGTAGCATTATTACTAAGACAGAATAATGAAAAGCTAATTATTTTTAAATTTCTAATTATAATTAAGTCCTGATTAGTATTTAGCTAATTAAATGGTACATAACTTTGCACATGCTTGCATTTACCAGGCCACGGAGTGGCAGTTAGACCAAGGTGGCTGGTTAAATTCTAAATAGAACTGTTTGAATACTTTGGCTAACTTCAATTTTTTTCAAACATGTTTGCATAGATTTAATGTCTGTGCTAAGATCTTAGAAAGATTTTATGGTTAGACTCTTGGCTGCTTCCATTTGGGGGAGGTATGAGGTGGGTACAAAGCCACCTGTAGTATTCTTTGGCAAACATGGTACTCTGCAAAGCTGTGCTTTGCTAAGAAGTGGTGTGAAGGTTGTGTGCTTTCTTTCTCTGTGCTCTCCTGAGTCCTGATGATCTACAAGAGTTCTTTTGTTAAGAATGTGTACTTTTCAAGTTATAGTAACTCAGGTTCTTATTCAATAGCTTTGAAAATGATCTGCTTCATTGATAATGGTATTTCATGCCTCTCAATATTTAATGTACCTTCTCAACTTCCATCTTGCAAAACAAGACAATTAAAAAAAGAAAAGACAGGCAAGGGAAAGGGCAGGTGGTAGGTGGAGGACTATGGACTCTCAGCTCTCCTAGGGTAGTGTTACTGATGTTTTCACACAAATGCAAAATGACAGCCACCTGGGAAAATGCATATTTTAATCATATGATTTATTTTGAAACTAAGTGAACTATCATTTGTAGCAATTGATCAGGCTCTTTCCTTTCTCTCTTTCTAAAACATTAAGTGATAACTACTCAAAAATAAAAAGTCAATTGGAAGTGAAGCTTTAGGGATTAAATATTGACAGAGAAGCCAATAGTGGATTGGTATAATTATACAATAAAATGTAATGAAAGCTTTTAATACAACTGCCTGTGGATAGATACAGTCCACATAACCTTCTGTTGCCATCTAGAAACTGGCTGAAGTCCATGAAAGAAACTTTTCAACAATTGAAATTGTTTCTAGAGATATTTCAGAAGATTGTTCCGTTACCAGTGGCAACTTTGACAATGAGGAAATGCAAAATTAGTGTTGATTTTGAAGTATCTCAAGGTATATAATCTTTATTTAGACCAATCTCACCTTTTCCTTGCACATAATATTATCTTTCCTAAGAATCTATGATATTAGACATCTGTTGGGAGGCTAAAAACAGTCCCATAGACACTATTTGTCATAGCAAAATAAAGTAAGTGGCTGTGTCTTATTTATAATAATATTAATTTTTTTAATCGTTTTTATTTTCTGTGTGGGATTTTGTGGCACAGCACATAGTCTTTCCAGTAAGTGAAGCAGAATTACTGCCTTTGAGCCAAATGGGATAGGCTGCCCTCAAATTATGCATGTTTGATGGTCACTTAAGTAAGATACAGTGCTGCATATTGCAGAACCACTTTAGTGTGCTGTAACACGCATTATTTTCAACCAACTGTAATTATAACATATATACCTTTCATGCAATTAGGAATTTCATGCTGGTCTTTTTTGTTTGTTTGTTTTTAATCATAGCATGACTTTCTATTTAACAAAAAGAGAGATAGCTATTTATTTTCTAGCTAGTGATGCTTTTTCTGTCCCAGCTGTAGTTTAAGAATAAACTTCCTGCCTTCCCCACCTCCCATATCTGCTTTGCTTTTGACTTGTTGAATCGTATTCCATTTGATATACAAAATATTTATTGTGAAAATTTGACATTATAGAGTCAGCCTAAAGGACCTCCTTTCTTCTTGTCTAAAAAAGTCCTTAAGAATAAATCTCTGTTTTTGTATCAGAATACATGAGTTTTGAGAGACTTGCATTTATCAGATATTTGAGGGGAAAAATATTTTAGCAATGTGGTGTTCTAAAATGTTCAAGTGCCTTTACAGAAGAATTATTTTTAAAATATGCATTGTTTTCTTTTTAGAAATGAAAATTTAATCATTTACATATCATAATATCTTGGTTTCTGATATTATATAAAAATTCAAAGCAAGTCATCAAAAGTTAATTTATATTTAATGAGGCACAATGAATAATTTATAATCATTTCTACATGAATATAGTTCAGTAAAATCATTTGCTAGGAGTTTGTCAACTTTTTTATTAAGCCAGCCTTTTGTGTCATTTTACCAAACAATAACAGTCTGGTAAAGTTTTTATACTTAGCTTTGCTGTGTTCCAGTCTATATTTTTTGCCCTTACCAAAATTCTAATGCATTATGTATTCCTTATCAAATAAAAAGCCAGCACTCTGGCTGATTTTCACACAGGATGCCTTCTCTAACCTTGGCTTTCATGTTCTTCATGTTTTTACATTTCTGATTCTTTAGGTACTCATTTCAATTCCATGGCAGTTTCTGATCTATCAGCGGTGAGGTAAATCTTAGAAAGAATCTCATAATTTTATTTTTCTTCTAAAAGATGGAAATGGCTCTACCTTGCCTCCCATAAAAAATCCCCTTCGTAGGACAATACTCAAAACCACGAAATATCTGGCTCCAAACTCCTTTTATAGTTCTAGTTCTTTCAAAGTATAGTTTCTCACCCTTCCTAAATTCAACATCCCCTTCTCCTCCATAGCCATTTTTCTTGTTTGCTTCCTATAGTGCCTCTTCCCCCTTACCTTTGCCTGCAAAGATCCTGCTGATTTTCAAAAACTCAGATGTCTTCTCCTCTACGAAGCATTGGTTAATCTCTCCCAAATGGAAATCATTTTGTTTTCTTCTGAAGTTTTATAGTGTTTTCTCACTATGTTGATTCAGTTTTCTTTTGAAATTGTTGTGATCTGTATTTGATTTCATCTATAATTGGTAATAAGTTTCTTGCGAGCAGGATTAAAAATGGTAATATTTGTATGTTTTTACAATTTCCAGTGCACTTTATATCATCTCATTTACTTCTATAACAACCCTTTGAAGTAAACATTTTTATTTACCACCTTTTTCAAATAAGCAAATCAGTTCAAAAAGGTTAAAATATTTGTTCAAGATCACATAGCAGAGTTAGGAGTTTGATCTCCAAAGCTCATGCTTTTTTCACTACACCACATGAATTCCTATACTATTTATAGTAATAATAACAACAATAATAAAATAACTAACTTTTGTTGAGTGTTTATAATAGGCTAGAGACTATGACTTACATATAGACTAAAGGACATTTACAATTTTTCTATTATGCAAAACTTGTATACATTCTAGAAAAAGTAGAGTATGTAATATACTTCCTGTCTCCATCACCCAACTTCAACGATTAACAGCATTTTGTACATTCATGTTTGGTCTATTCCCCTAACATATTTTATGTCATTTTAAATACATATTCTTTTGTATATCATTTTTCTTATGGGTGTCTCAGCATTTATCTCTAATATAACCACAATTTTATTATTACACCTAACAAATTAACAATGATACCTTAATATAATCTGATATCCTTTATATTTTCAGTTTTTCTCAATTGTCTCAAAAGTGTTATTTTACATTTGATTTGTTCCAAGCCATATCCAAAGCCTGATCGCTGAATTTAGTTGATATGCCTGCCAAGTCTCTTTGAAAGAGGAAAAATATACTCTCTTGTTATCTTTATCCCAAGAGGTATTGACCTGTTTTCATGAGCATACATATTTTATTCAGAATTATACCACTATTGACAAACTTCCACTGAAGAAATATTTTTTAGAATAAACTTTATTAAGCAAATTTAATTTCTTGATTAATTTACACAATGAAATTAAACCATATCTATTTTTTCCAGGCTGGGAACAACTACTGTGTTCTTTTCAGACTTTTTATAGCATTTGATTTTTTTCCACTCTTATATACACTGTGAAAGTCAATAAATATATATTTAATGCCAACCAAGTAGGACTCTATGAACATTGTTACTGTACAATTCTTTGTATCTCATTCCATCTATTAATTTTAAGCTTACTGTGATCATGGATTTCATTTTTCTCCTGGTAGAGGTTTAGTAAGTGTTTGTTGAATTGTTTAATATTGAGATACTGTGAATATTTTATTGCCAAAATTAAAAGAACGTGTGAATTTTACTAATTAATAATTTGAACTAAGCCCTGGCAGATTGCTACCAGAGCACCATCAGAAATATACCATGTTGCTATGACAGCATAATTGTCTAATATCTGTAGAGGTACTGAACAGTTTGTCCAGTAATTTTCTTGCCTGTGTCCCCATCTGGTAGCGGCAGCAGGGAATTTGATAACTAAATGTGCTGTGCTCCTAGTATCTCCAGTGGCCTACGGGTCCCAAGGCTATGAAATACTTGTTTCATCAAATATAGTGCCTCTCATCTTTATTTTAAATTATTTCCTGTCCCTTCTCAAACCCCTTGGTTAGCTGAGTTACATGAATGACAACCTGCAAATTCTGTGCAATTCTGTCACATTCTCTCTGCCATTTTTTTTTCTGTCTATCCAGTATTTCTTTGTGAATATTCTTCTGACATTTATTTTGAATCTGTACTTTCTTCTTGTAGACACATTGATTTTTTTCCTCCTGTAATATTTGTCATGACTACTTTGGTTGTACCTAATGGCTGACCACACTTACCAAAAGTATATCTTTGCCATTTATAGCAACACAGTATTTCAAAGGGAAATTACAGGGATGTAGATTTTATTATTCCTGTGTGTAAAGGAGGATATGACTTTGACAGGAAGCTTCATAAGTTAGTGTATTTTAGAGCTGTGCAAACAAGTAGTGTAATTGAATATATGTTTTCTCATCTGACTTTCTGAGTACTCTCTGTTGGCTCTGTTATATGGAACCCATTTATATGAATGTTTAGAATTATTTACTATTCAATTTTAATAATAGTTTTTCTGATTACATAAGTAATATGTATTCATTGAGAGAATTTGGAAAATAAGAAATTTTCAGTAATCTTATAGCAGTGATCTCTTATTTTGTCACAGGATTAAAGAATACTTTTATAAAATAGAGTTCAGAGATTAGCTTGTTTATGCCCTCTTTATAAAAATGAACAAATCTATTTGGTTCAGATAGGGGCAGAAATTGCCATCTGAGAGGGAATAAGCAAGGATTATGGTCTAAGTCTCTTAACTCCTAGTATAATGTATTTTCAGGCATGTTAAGCAAAGAATTAGAAGGTTTAACATTTGATGAAAATTTTTAAATAAAATAAAAATGCAATGAGAATGTATTTCTCCTGATTTACTGCAATATTAGTTTATTTTGTTATTTTTGACTAGTTGGTTTTTGTTAATGACATTCATATAATAACTTTTCTAACAAGGAAATTAGGGCACTATGCAAAGAACATCTCTAAATATTACATAGACTGAACCAACTTTATTAAAGAATTGTGAGGAACTAAAAGATCCAAGGTAAAGATGTTCCAGAAAGCATGTAGGAAAGCTGAACATTGGAAGTGGCACTCATTTGGAGTCCATTTAAAAATTTGCTGCAGAAAAATTGCAGTGAGCTATAATCACACCACTGTACTCTAGCTGGGACAATGGAGTGAGACTCTGTATCAAAACAAACAAATAAACAAAAAACAATTACTGCAGAAGAGAAGATCTGGATTGGCTTTCTCACTGTTCTTTCTCCAGAACTTTGGATACCATGCAGAGTTCCTAGACACATGTTCTAGGCAACGTTATAAGCTTGGACTGGCTGCTCTTTGGCTCCATGACATCAAGACATAAACTTTCATGCAAATTAGTTCAGGGAGGATGCCTTCTGACATCCTGTTTTGCAACATGATGAAATAGAAAATGCAGCCCAATCTGTTGAGTCAGAATGGATTTGTCTTCAAAATCCCATTGCATGCAAGGTTCTTAACTTCTTAGAACTTAAGTTTACCTCTCTCTGAAGCAGGTACATAACCTCCCACTCACAGGGCTGGCATGAGGATTCAAGTGATTATGCACTGTGATGACATTTATGCATGTGCCAGAGGGCTCCATAAATGGTGATTTCCTCCTCTTTGCACAAAGGGAGCAGAAGGTTCTTGGAAGAGGTTTCTACCTCCTTTAGCAAGAGTGATTCACATAACTTCCTTTTTTTCTTTTCCTCTCCTTTCCTGAAATTTTAATAGTTATTATCTGAATGTCATGTGCGAGTCATTGGTGATAGAGACCTGAATAAGGGGATGATCTGGCCTCAAGGAGTGTCTACTGACCAAGGCATCTGGCACATTACTGAAGTATACTGTGATGAGAATGGTTCAGGAAGCCATAGGAGAGAAAAACATGGAGCAGGCAGACAAAACGTAGGAGAACATTTCGTCAGAAGTCTGGGGCAGGGGATGGAAGATGACAGATGGGGAAGGATGGCCTATTGTAGTCAGAAGAAACCGTAAGAGCAAAGATGCGGAGGTGGGAAGGTCATTATTCTGGAGACAGTGGCTGATAGGAACGTGTTTGAGAGAGATTCACAGAGGGCTGACATAGCAAGCTCACAAGTTTACCTGCTGTTGCTGGAATCCTTTAAGGCCTGTTACTGATCCCTCAACATTTAAGTACCAACATTTAGTCCAAATCCCATTCCCAGGCTAATTTACTCTTTGCCTGTTTTCCATTCCTTTTTCATCCTTTTCTCCTACTCCATTCCTTTCTCCTCCTTCTCCCAATTCCTTCTCTTCCCATGGAACATGGATAGAGTTTCCTAAGTTCTATATTTTATTTTTTTGTCCAGGAAGAAAAGCCCAGAAGCTCCTTTTCTGTAAAGGATTTTACTGCTAATCTCTCTGAAGAAACAGTGTCACTAAAATAACAAATCTGGGAATGTTATAAGAATCCCAGAATCCTTCAAAGTTCTTACAGTCATGGTCCCTAGCATTTCTCTTACAGAAACTGGAAACATATTTAATTCCCATCCTCAGTTTGATTCCTGTCTGTGGAGTTTAAGTCTCTACTTCTCCTAACCCTGGAGTTAAAAGGCCTTCTGACTCTCGCCTCTGTGAGGGTCCTTCTGAGGCGAGGGGCATCACAAGGAAGGGAGGAAAGCCCCCTGAACTTGCCAAGTGGGTTCTTAGCCTTTTGTGAGAAAGAAATTGAGAGGGAGCCAACTAGCTACAGGGAAGCTTTATTGAGACAGAGATAGGCAACTGACCCCACTCCACAGACGGAGTAGGGGTCCTCTCCCGAGAAGGAGTTACCTTACGGGTTAATGGTAATGTTTTTAAATGTTAAAAAAAACCCCATGTGTGACCAACACTGTCTCATAGTCAGGCCATAAAGGTTAATCATAAACTGCTTTCACAGAAAGGTAAGCACAATTTGTAAGGCATCCGGCATAGTAATTCATCCATCCTGGGGTGGTCCTGGGCCAGTAACTTGCTGGCGACTTCCTTGTCCAGGGTGGTTAGGGTTCGTATGGGTCAAAATGGCTGCACTCAGGCTCTCTTGACCTTCCTTTTCTACCTCATCCCTTCATTACTTCTTTCCAGTCCATTGTCTTGAAGAACACAATGAGACAGAACAGTAATGATACAAGTAAGCATCATTCTCATGAGATAATTTATATTTTTTAGGGTCTCTGATTCCACAGGCTTCTTCTCCCTTTTTAAATTTTCACTATTACCTGCAAAAAGAGTTAATGATGTAAAAATGTATCATTTAATATTAATTGTTATTAAAGGATACAAGTTATCCTTTATACAGAATAATTACTAGCAAGTAAAGAAAAATATGCACAGGAACAAAATGAAAATGTTAACAGATTTTTTTATAGGAGGTGCACATTGGGTGATGTTTTATTTTCTCAATCTCCCAGTGAGAAAAATGAGTACGTATAACCTTACAATGGAAAAATAAGACACTATTTTTGTATTTATTCAATTAAAATAATCCTGAGGATTTTCTGTTCTAGGCAAAAACTCTGATTAGAAGGAACAAGTCACAATAACTGGTTCATTTTACTCAGGATATTTACAGAAATTCTTTCCTAGATTTTGCTTTCAGCATTTCCTCGAAGGAATTATCAGAGCTCCTTAAAGTGAAGTAGGAAGCAGCCTAACGAAATCTCTATTTTAGAAAAATAACTAAACAAATTGTGGATTGTCCTGTTATGAGTCTGGAGGTAGGAAACAAACTTGAACCCTTTCCAGAAATCTGGAGGGGAGGATGAGCTGCCCTTGAGCTGAGACAGTGAATTGGAGAGGAAGGAGCAGATATGGGAAGCAGGCACTTCAAAGTAAACATACCCAAAATTAAACTGCCTGTTTGTAACTAGACTTCCCTCCCCCACCCAGCAAATCCACTTCTCCTCCCTTTTTCTCCTGCAGTCTTATACCCCACCTCCAGTCCATCACCAAGTCCCATTAGTCCTTTTTCCTAAATATCTCTTAAATGTATCCATTTCTCTCGACCCCTTAGTTTAGGCTGTCATCACCTCGAGCTTGAATTTTTAAAGGAGTTTCCAAACTGCTTTCCATTTTACTCTCTGCTAGATCAGAGTGATTTTCCAAAACTGAAAATCTGATCCTATTACTCCTTTGCTTCAGTGGCTTTTTTGGTGCTTTTAGGAAACAGTTCAAACTCTTTTAAGTGGCTTCCAAGGCTTTCTCAGAGCTAGACGTCACCTTCCTTTCTAGTCTTGTTTCTTATCACTCCCTTCCTCACTCCTCTCTAGCCTGTGACATCTCACAAACCTATCCAGCTCTCCAGCTCACTATTACCCACAAGTCTTGACACATTCTGTTCTATCTGCCTGGAACACTCCCCCTTCTCTTCTTTCCCTGTACCTCTTTAATTCCTTTACATCTCAATTTAAACATAAATCTGGGATGGGCTTTTCTGAGCCCTTAGGTTAAATCTTCAAGCATCTGGGAGCCCCATATAATAACACTATATCTATTATATTCATATTGGCTTAATTGTCTGGGTTCCACACTAAACTCTAAGCTGTGACTGTGGCCAGGGATTGTAGGTTTTTATTTACCATTGTGTCCAGTTCAGCTGGTACAGTATGGTAGCATTAGGTATTCAAATAGTTGATGAATTAGACAAGGAAGGTGGGGAGTGGAGGGGTAAAGGAAGGAAGAGGAAGAAGGGAAGGAAGGAAAACCAAGCAATGGAAGGAAAGGAAAAAAACTTAAAAGTTTTACAGATAGGGACTGCAAAGATATTAGTCACATTTTGAATGATGTCAGGGGAAAAAATGGAGGAGTCAAAAATATTCTAAGATTCTTTCACTGAGTAGCTGGGTATATGGCAATGCTGTTATTGGGGTTAAAAAGAAAGAAGAGTAGGTTTGGGTGGAAGCGTAATGAGTTCAGTATGAACATCTGGTACAGAAGTTCCGTTGACAGTTAGGGATGGGGATATCAAATGGAGCTTAAGGAAGAAGTGAGAGCCGTATGTGATTGCTGAGGTCATGGGAGTGGGTGAGATTTCCCAGAGAGTATATGGAGCAAGAAGACAGCTGAGGTTGGCTTTCTGGAGACTCTAACATTTAAAGAGACACTGTAAAAGAGCTCCTTAGTGGCTGCTGGGACTCCACATCTCATTCTACATTTACGGGACTTGTAAACAGCCCATCACTCCTAAACAGTGCACTGCTCAGGAGGAATTTGAAAGAGGTGTGGCTGATTCAGTCACTGTGAATGTGGACTGGGGGAGGAACTCCCTGATAATAGCTTTTCATGACTTATTTCTTTCAGGAAATCCTTTGTATTTCCAACATTATAATGCATTTATGATGTTTGCTTTTCTCTAGGATCACTGAATTCAACAGAGCTGAAAAATTAACACAGATATTTTAACTCATCTGCATTTCTCTATTTAAAATTTTATGTTTATTGCAGCATGCCATTTAAAGCTTATGTACCTGTTTAATTTACATATAGATGTGCAAATGTAATTTTCCCTCTTTGTGCTTCTGTGTGAGGCTTAAAACTATTTTAGGTGAAATCCGGTGGGATACTGAAAAGATTCCTAAAGGATGAAGTGATCCATTGTTCTTATTTTAGTGAATTTGTCAATTTGACATTGAGATCTAATAACCTTGAATCAGAATTTTCTAGGTGAAATAAATTGGATCGTTTATAAAATTTGCCCAGCTTTTGTAAGTCCATAACGCATCACAGATTCCATTATTCAGCATCTTTATTAACGTGGACACAGTTTGTATTTTACCAAAAGTTACAGCCCTTTTCCAGTACTTCCCAAACTCCGTACGTTCATTCATTCATTTGACAAATATTGACTGAATGCATTCTTTGTGTCAGGCACTGTGCTGGGCTCTGCGGAATATAGTGATAAACAAAATAGGTGTAGTCCCTGCCCTCCATGGCATTCAATAAATAGACATTCACTTCATTTGAATTTTTATCCTTGGTGCTTGTAGAATGCTTTTTTTTTTACGAGATATTTGTGCATGTAGTAAAAATATCAGTAATAATGTCTGCTTAACTGGGCTCCTGCTATTGCTGCTGTGCTCTATGCATTGCCCTAATCTGCTTAATTATTTCTTTAGGATGGATCCTAGAAGTGGAGAAAGAGATAATTTAAGGCTCAGATTACTAAAATCAATTTCCAACTGAAAGAAATATATAATGTAGGGGCTAACAGTGTGAGCATCAGAAGCACATAGACCTGAATTTGAGTCCTGGTTCCGCTATGATTAGCTGTGTGATTGTGTACACGTTGCTTAACTTCTCTGAGCCTTGATTTATTGATTTGTGAGGTTAGAATAATCACACTACCTACCTCATGGGGCTGTTGTGATGATTAAATGAAATAACACATGAATATACTTAGCATGGGGCCTGGCACAGCACAGGCTGAGTTTCCCTTATCCAAAATGCTTGGGGCCAGAAGAGTTTTGAATTTCAGATATTTTCAGATTTTGGAATATTCGGACATATTTACCAGTTGAGCATCTGAGCATTCCATTTAGCATGACCTTTGAGCATCATGTCAGCACTCGGAATGATTCAGAATTTGGAGCATTTTGGGTATCTGATTTTTGGATTAGGGTTGCTCAACTTGTGTAAGAAATCAGTAACAGTTATTTTTGCTATCACATATGATATAAAACTCAGCTTTTTAACCACTTCTACTCTTCTCACACTTCTCACACTCCTACTCTTCTACTTGTTAAAAGATTTACACCCCATTAATTATATTCCACCTTTAAGTGAAATCTTTAATATAGGGAAATAGCTTGGGGGTGGATTCCATTTTTAACAGTCTGTCTTCTGCAAAAGGGCAGCAACTCTCAGCATCAATAAGTGGTAAGGAAATGAGGGCATTTCTAGGAAGAGCACACATACTTGAGTTTTATTAATATACCTTGGTTATAATTTTAGGTTTCCAGGGTTTTAAAGGACTGGAAAGTGGGATACAATGAGAAGAAATGAGTGTTTTATGACAGCAGAAAAAATGCAGTATTATATTTATCTTCCTGTAACTGAAAACCGTACCTCCAAGGATATGATTAGAGAAATCATTGTTTTATACTTACTTGATCACATTTGATGGCTTCTTCAAATATGAAATAATCTTCAGTGTAAAATTATAGAACAAAAAAATAAAGATGTAGAAGGCTAATTTATGGATTTCCTTTTAAATAAGAATAGCTTAGGCTGGGCGTGGTGGCTCACCCCTGTAATCCTAGCACTCTGGGAGGTTGAGGCGGGCGGATTGCTTGAGGTCAGGAGTTCGAAACCAGCCTGAGCAAGAGCGAGATCCCATCTCTACTATAAATAGAAAGAAATTAATTGGGCAACTAATATATATAGAAAAAAATTAGCTGGGCATGGTTGTACATGCCTATAGTCCCAGCTACTCAGGAGGCTGAGGCAGGAGGATCACTTGAGCCCAAGGAGTTTGAGGTTGCTGTGAGCTAGGCTGACGCCATGGCACTCACTCTAGCCTGGACAACAAAGTAAGACTCTGTTTAAAAAAAAAAAGAATAGCTTAGAAGTAGTATGTTTAGAGGTAAATTTTTTCAAAAACCTTTATGTCATAGGAGATATACTGTATATGTTTGCCAGTTTGGTTTACATGAACAATAAACTAAAATAGTACAACTTTGAGAAATAGGAAAATTCTTCTGGTTTAGCATAAACTTACCTCCAAACAAAAGCCTTTTTTTTTGTTTGTGTAATTACAGGGTGTAGGAAAAAACAAGATTGTTGACAGATTCCTTCACCTGCTCAACAGACCCCGAGAATATATCCAACTGCATAGGTAAGAGTATTAGACCCATAATCTCTCAAAATTTGATGTAATCATTTCTTTTTTCCTAGTACAATTTAAAATATTTTCTTAAAGGCTTATTTTATAAACCACTTTCATTTCTGTTCTTCCTTCTTTTAACGCTTCTCTCCTTAAAAGGTTATAAAATGAAGCAAAATTTATTTTTAAAGTGACTAATGCTTTCTAAACATGAATTAATATTTTGTGGACAGAGAGTGATGCACATTACATTCTAGGAGCAGAGCTCATCAACATAAAGGCTCTTAAGTTAGAAGAAAAACATGTAGAAACTAAGCCCGTTTCCTAACAATAGCTTGCAAGGAGAAACAAACTATATGAATCTCGGGTGTGAGATAAGGAACCCAGAAATATGGAAGAAGTATGTTATTAGTTGTCTACTTGCCTTCTTTAAAATACTTTGTACATTATTTAGTTTTGTGTGATCAGAATGCTGGTTCAGGGATAGCTTTTAATCAAATAGATGTTCTCAACATGAATTGTTTTTAGCTTATCACTAAAACTGTTCCAATTTTTAAATAATAAAATATTAATATAGGCAACAGATCTACCAGAAACAAAAGAGAAAAAGAGAGAGACAGAGATATAAGTCAAGAAATATATCCAGTAATAAGCATCTTAAAACTATCTTAGATTGTTATTATTTTAAACCAGGAGATAAAAAATATTGTGTAGTTGAAAGAACATTGAATTGAGTTGCAAGAAATAGTTTCTGATTTGAGTCCTTTCACTAAATGATTATCAGTTCTTGAGAGAGAATTATAGGAGAATAGAAGGTAGAGTTAGTAGGTCAAAAGAGAAAGAGAAAAGAATCAAAGGGAAGCTGAGATATGGTCAAAAACTCCCTTTTGGGATTTATTCCTCTGGCTGTGACAGAATAATGCTACCAGATTAGCCCTACCACAGTAAAGAACTATAAAAACCAGATAGAATTTAACAATACTGGGAAAAGAAAAGCTACCAGGGATCTGTGAACTGAATAACTATCAGAGTTCCTACATGATTGAGAACCTTCGTTATTGAGAACCCTGGTATTCAGAAGATAGCCTCTATCTATGTTTTAGAAGTAAGACTAATCTATCCCTAAAATAAGAGCTACTCTATACCTATTCTTACAGAGTTTAAAAATAAGCCTTGAAAAAGAAGGATGCTTGCTATTTAACATTGTTTTGGAAGTTCCTTCGCATACAGAATGGCTTTAAAAATAAAAAGGAATGGATGTTTGGGGAAGCAGGGAGAAATGCCTTGAGAAGATCAAGGTGATTCAAAAGTAAATTGCTGTGTACCTGAACAAAACTTAACACCCAACTAAGGAAGACTGCAAAATCCAAACACTCAACAACATAGAATTCATAATGTCAAGCATTCAATAGAAAATTACTAGACATAAAAAGAAACAGGAGAATTGGTCAGTAGAAGTAGACACAAAAATGGCAGATGATAGAATTAGCAGACAAGGACTAAAAAAGTTGTCATAAATATATTCAAGCATTTAAAGGGGAAATAATGAACAAAATAAGGGGATAATTAAGAATTCTTAGTAGAGAAATGACAATCCTAAAAAAGCAGTTTGACATATAAGCAATGTAGTCTCAAAGGAGAGGAGAAAAAAAAGGACAAACCAATATTTGAAGAGATAATAGTGGGAAAAGTCTCAAATTTCATAAAAATCATGAAGTTACCAATCCAGGAAGCTCAATGAACCTCAAGCAGGGTGAACAGAAAACCACAACACAGCACATCATAATCAAATTGCTGAAAACAAAGAGACAATCTTTAAAACTGCCAGAGAAAAATGACATATAACCTACAAGGGAGCGGTGATAAAAATGACTGGGAAAGAAGGAAGTCAAGAGTCCCTTCATATCATAGCAGCAGTTTCTCTATTCTTTTATTTTGAACAACAAAGTATTTTTTCAGAAAGATATATTAAGCTAAACTGCCTCAGTCAATTCTGATTTTACTTTATGGTTAACACAATCAGGATAAAAAGGAGGCAAAAATATATAATTTGTATTTAGTAATCTTGGATGTATGTTACCACCATAATCATTACAAACAGGCCTTTTACTTATGGATTTATTAAGTTTATTAGCTATGAGAAGTTTTGATAAATGTTGTTTTTCTAGGACTTATTCCTTCTAATTAGTTGGTATAAAATTGTTTAGAATATCATCTTAGGCTCAGTAATAGTATCCCCATTTTTATTCCTGATATTGGCCATTTGCCTTTTCAATTAGTTCTGCCAGTGGGTTAACAATATTATTGGTCTGTTCAAAGAACCAACTTTTGGCATTGTTGAAACTCCCTTTTATGTTTCTTTTCTATTTCAATAATTTCTGATTTTATTGTTATTATACCCTTTCTTTTGATTTCTTTGGATTTCATGTGCTATTTTTTAAACTTTTGATATGGATGCTTAAATCATTACTTTTCAACCTTTTAATTTATGATACATATGCATTTGAGGCTATCTATGTTTGAGTCTTTCTTTGGGTCTTAGTTCTTTCATCTCTAAGAAGAGCAGACAAGATGATTAATATCTCTTTTGGCTCTATGTTCAAATATTTTTGACTAGGTAACAAGAAGATGGTATTCAAGATGCTTGTAAAAATTTAGAGGTTTAAAGATACCATGCCTTACTTCCTGCCTAAAACATCTTTAAAACCAGCATTTTGTCACAAAACAACAAATGATTCATAAATGGTAAAGAGTTTCATGCTGCTAATGTATATTCTGTGGTAATTCTGACACTGGCTAGATAAAAGTGTATGTGTATTATCTATGAAAAAATGTTCTGAATTCAAAATATAATAAAAATTTTCAAGCCAAATATTTATATTTTATAGTACTCATTGCTATATTGATTGATATTACAAATAAAATTACATCCATTTTAACCGAGGCCCTAAATATCTCTATTTGACAATATTAGATACCTATTATATAAAATTGGAAGTAAAAAGCCTCCATTTCTGTTTAAAATATACAGTGTTAAAGAATTGACACTGAATAGACTGACAGCCCCACTAATTTCAAGGTAGTGAATTTTTCCTTTATTAAATACAATGTTAGGGCTACATTTGCTATAAAGTTTAAGCTCATAAAGTAGCTTTAAGAGAAACATGTTTTAAAGACCTAAAAATAGCAGTCTGAAAAAATGTTTAGGGCATTTCTGATCTATGGATGAACCACTTAAGGTCTTTGTTTATTTTAGATTCCTTTTAATGGATTTGTGATGTTACTGGATAAATAATCAGTCACACTCAATTTAGTATATAGATGTCATTTGAACAGAATTAGTTATAAGAGCCATTCAAAACATAATCTTGATAAGTAAAACTGTCACCGAGCATACATGAATAAAACACACAACTAGTGTACTTTTAAGTATAGCCATCTTATGTTTTGATTATCAGATTTCATAAAGCAAGTTGGGTAATTTATATATTTAGTTAAAATCAATACGTTGTCTTAAAGGTATGACTTAGGTAATTTAAAAGATTAATAGATATAATTACTTTGATGTTATACATTTCAAACCAAAGAGAATATATAATATATGGCTCACATTTGTGAAGTGCATCCATTTACTTGCTTTTCTACAATGTCATATTAATTTGACATTAAAGAGGACACTTGAATATGTTAACTTTGTACTATATTTTGTCTTTGGATAAAACTGCATGTCTGTAGTAAAATCAGAATTGTCTTAGGGTTTTGAAATGCTTATGTTGCCAGATTTTTTTTTTTTTTTTCAATTTGCTATCCTTCGTGTATGGGGATGACAGCAGAGGTCCAGTCATTAGCAAGACCTATGCTCTTAGTTACCCATTGTAAATATAGAGTTCCCAGGTCTCCTAGGATAGGCCTTTCTCTTTCAGTGGAATTTTCTTCATGTATGCTCAGCTTAGTGCAGACTGGATCATTCAGTGTTCTAGTTCTCACAGTTTTGGACTTGTATCCATGTATGTCTTTATTTCTCCATCTAAAATGCACCCCATTTTTCCCCCAATCCTATAAGATTCTATCTATTGTTACTTCTACATGATTTTTACTTCTTTCCTGATTTTTCACTTTGTGTATAACTGTTCCCTCCTTGGAAACTCCATGAGATTGAGCTTGTACCATTGTAATAAAAGAGATGGGCTTTAGAGATCAAATATTGTCATCACTAACTTTTGTGTGGCCCTGAACTCCTTAGGTCTTCATTTCCTTACCTATCAAATTGAAATAAAAATATTAATACCTTTCATGGTTATGAAGATTAAATGAGAGAATATGTACAATAGACCAAGTGTCTGGCACTTTTGGAACCTAAACATTTAGGCAAACTAATAAGATTTAGTTTCTTGACACATACCCTACTTTCTTATCTAACTTTGATTTGTATTATTGTGATTTCTATATCATATTTCCATCTCCTCTCCTTTCTCCAGTCATGCCTCCCCAACTGAATAGGGAACTTTTGAGGGCAGAAGTCTGGTTTATTCATTATGTGTTAATTCCTTCATCTAGTGTGTAGTTATTAAACTCCTTTTGTTTGCCAGTGGCTGTTTTAGGCACCGGATGACATGTAGATTATGACATTGATCTTGACTAGAGAGCTTCTTATGAGCAGGAAAATATACCAACATTTATGACACAGTTATTGTATATAACCTATGAAAAAGACATGTACCGGTATATGAGAGCCTTGAGGAGGGGTACCTAACCTGGAGAAGATGGCACTTAAAAAGGTTTTAAAAGGTAAGTAGGCGTTTGCCAAGTCCTCTGTTCCAAGAACAGAGAAAAAGAGCATTGTGGTCATTGAAAATAGCAGGACTTCAATCACAGAAACACTAGGGGGTGATTTCACTAATCCAGATAAAGTTGGTGAGATTGAACAAACATACTACCAATGAGAATGGAAAGAAGGGACATGTTGAAATAGGTTTAAAGGCCAATTTTAGAATCCTTGATAATGATGTGGA